GAACAATTTGACTCCGCCGCGAATAAAGCGTCCATTCGTTGTGATGTGTCGTGACGGGCTTTATGACGTTTTTCACAAAAAGTAATGTCGTTACGCGGACTTCGAATGTGAAAGCCTCTGCTGATGCTTGTCTGTATGCTAGCCAGTTGGGGAGAACTTTATTGAAGATCCGGTGTACTTGAACCCAGCCTTCGTCAAGCTTCAAAGTGACCAAGAGAGTTACCAAGCACTCTAACTAAATCTGGTTTTTCAAATTTCTGCTTTGATTTTATTACGCTATGTCACCAAATTTCTGCACAATTTTCTTACTACTAAAAAGCTCTTGAAAACTTGTGCTTAGTTTCTCACGAGGAATTAAGAAAAACCCTTCCATCAGTCTGTTGAATTTTGAATTTTAATCTGAATTTTATGTGCATTAACACTGCAATGCATGTAGCGGCTCTTTGATCTCTACATCTTCATTTTCTCCATTTTTTACAAAACATTGGTAGATTTTTTGATAAAGGCATTTCTAGTTATCTGTCCTTTTTACCTTTCTTACTCTTTTTAAAGTACGAAACACTCATTCCAGCGGCTGTCCGAGGAATTTTTGAAAAGCCTCAGGTTCGTAGAAGGAAAGCTATTACAAGGCTAACACAATTTTTTTTGAAATTCAAATCTACTGGCTTAGTTTTCTGAGTCATCAAAACTACTTCAACACTCCCCTCCTTGCTTCACTCCTTCCTCAAAATTTGAAAAAAAAGGGTTTTGCGGATGCTTTCGTTGTGGGACGCGTTAACCTAATATAAAATCCGCAACATCCGAAATTAGGGACTGTCAGGAAATATAAAAGTATTTTTGGAAGTGAGCAACAAAACTCATATTACATACATAAGAGCATTATCCGTTTCCATACATCGAAAAATCAAAACATCTTTGGATGCGCACCATATTTTCAATCAACTGTGAAACATGTTTTCTTAAAGAAAACCAAAAAACGTTCTCGTCAAATAATGAAGACTTTTCATTTTGTTCAGAGCATAGATGAGTTGAAAATATCAATCTTTTTCACAATTCTCTATTCGACATCTTTTCGTCAAAAAGAAAAGATAAAGCGGTTTTAGCGCGTCTTTTTTAAACGCCACTCTAGATTCTGAATCTACATTTTATGTAAAACAGTTGTAGATCTCATCTACACGGCACGTTTTTTATCCCGCTCGCAGCTGAGCAACTAAATCACGAACTATATTAGGAACAAGTTCATCAAACAGGTTTCTCCTGTCCCATCTGTTAATTATGCCAGCGCATTGCAGTTGTAATGAAGGTGAGAGCGAGAAAAACGTGCAAGTTCATCTCCATTTCAAATGTTTATGACTTTCAGCATGCTGGAGGGCATCCATAGCGCCGTTACGAAGTTCTATAGTTCATGAAATGCTTTTTGAAGCAATAGGGAGAAAAGTTTATAAGAATACTTCGTTAGTAAGTTTGTAGGCGCACTATAAGCACTAGTTTCAAAGAATCATTGACAAATCCCACTACATGAAAGCTTTTTCTGCTGCTTTCATCATAAAGCGCTTTTTTCAGCGTGTTTACAAAATGTGCAAATTAGGAATAATTAAATAGAAACATACGCATTGGGGACTGGGAGGGTCAAGTTGAGTCTTACTCTTTCACAAATTTCAAAGTTTTTCAGCCATAACGATGCGGTAAAGAAAGTTTCCCCTGTCGAGAAAAAAATTTATTTTAATGCATAAGGCAGAATACAAAATGGCTTGCGTCACTCTATATCAGAATCGATACCAGTACGTTAACAGCTGACATTCCGTAATTCCCTTTTTCCTGCAGAAAGAAAATCTAAAGACCAAGTCTTTTCATACGCTTCATCAAATAACGTAGGTAATGTGACCTAATGTGCATAGTCCATTAAAATGGCTTGAGCAAGTGCAAGCAAAGCCTTTTCAACTTACTATGAGTCAACTTACCACTTACTATACCATGCTTTCAAAGGTAAATTATTTCACATAATCAGTGGTATATATTAGGTTGACCGGAAATTAATGCAGGTTTTGAATTCCAACCGCAATAAGTCAAACACTTCTCATTTCTAAGTAGGTTGCAAGATACCATTCGATAGAACAAAGCGAGCTCTACAAGATGGCCATCTTGCTTTAGCAACAGCTGATCCACCACGAGTTTCGAGCAAAAACTGAAAAGATTCAACTGCACGAAAAATTGAGAAAAATCGTAACTCAGTTCATAGAAATTCTATAAAATTTTTAACTTGCTCACGCAAACACTATCCATATAAGACATCTATTTACGCCGTTGCCGTGTTTTTTCTCCGTTAGAAATCAAAAAACGGAAATTTTCGTGCATTTGCCAAAGTGGCGCTGTGCCGTTTCCAATTAAATGGTTGTATACTACAAACCTGTAGAAGTACAAACGTAAGCTTCCAGCTCTCTACAACTTTAGTTCTTGAGATTGAATTTTAGCTTGGACCACTTGACTAGGGATAACTGTATTCGATATTTCTCGAGAACTAAAGCTTGTAGAGAGCTGGAAATTTACGTTTGTACTTCTACAGGTTTGTAGTATACAACTAGTTATGTGGGAACGCCACAGCACCACTTTGGCAAATGCACGAAAATTTCCTTTTTCTTGATTTCTAATAGAAAACAAAATACGGCAACGGTGTATATAGGTGTCTTATGTGGATAGTGTTTACGTGAGCGAGTTAGAATTTTTGTAGAATTTTTATGAATTGAGTTACGATTTTTCTCAATTTTTCGTGCAGTTGAATCTTTTCAATTTTTGGCTCGAAACTCTTGGTGGATCAGAGCTGTTGCTAAAGCAAGGCAGCTATTCTTGTAGAGCTTGCTTTGTTCTATCGAATGGTGTCTTGCAACCAACTTAGATATGAGAAGTGTATGACTTATTGCGGTTGGAATTCAAACCTGCATTAATTTCCGGACAACCTAATAGATGTATCATGCATCAAAAATACTTCTATAACTGAAGAGAAGAAAATTTTACTCCATTCCACCCCACACAATGACCTTTCCGAGCGAACAATGAGTGCCTTCGAGCAAAATAGACATTACTTCTAGGCACAATGATTTTTAAGGACGCTTGGGCAATCAGATAAAGCTTCCCTATGTGCTCCAAATGAAGCACAGGTACTCACACTTTTCTGACACCGCCTTCGTGCTAGATAGTCATGACTTTCTACGAAGCTGTCAATCATCCTTCTACCAACATTCCCTGTCATCGTAGTTGTCAGATGGGGATTATTCTTTAGTAGAAGTCGAAGTAGAAGCATTAGTGGCTACTTAACAAATGTATCGCAAAACTATTTTTTTTCCCAAAATCTTGGTTGGAAAATCAATGTTATGACTTTACATAGTCATTAGACTCTGAAATGCAGTTGACTGCCGTTTCGTCATAGTTTCACTCTCTTGTTCCTACAGCTGTCAGAGTCAACAAGTGATGCTTTCGAATAGCTACCAACGAAACCGCTTTGTCTCTCACTGTTTAGATCATAGAACTGGACAACAGTTTCGAGCCACTAAAGACAAGAGTTGAGAGATAGCACATCTGACTGAACCTCCTGCTGGAGCATAAGACCGCCTATCTATGTAATGAGCACAGTAAATGTGTTTGTAACAAATAGAGCAGTAACGTCAACAAGCCCATTCAGTAGGCAATGACGTTTTCTGAATAACCTTAAAGGTAGCGTAAACCCATAATTTCGTCTTACATGTTTTTATTGTTATCGGGCCTTTCCATGGTGCTGATTCAGGATACGAGTTCAAATCACCAGAAAACTTCAAAATTGCCCTTTTCTGAAGCCCCAATTTGGCGGGGAACGGTCAGGAGTCACGGTCGGCGCGAATTTTTCGCGAAGCGATGCCGCAAGCGATGTCAGCAAAACAAAAGCCAGCACTCTTGGCGCAGTCTTACTTATGGCACGAGCCATGTATCTGCCCCCACCCCCCACCCCCCTAGACTGGCGCCGTGCCACTTTAGCACCGGGCAGTTTTATGGGGTACAAAATTTAGACGCGACGTGCGCGACGAAGCGGGGCAGCGCGCGGCGTGACTCCTGACATGGAGCCCAATTTGGCAGACGAGTGGACGAGTGCCGCGGCGCTAGTCTCGTCTTACATATGCAACAGGAGACCTCATCGTGTGTAACACTACCACATCACAAACTATGCGTCTCGACGTTCCTTGTCATGTCAGAACACGTCTCGGGGCAATCCGTGGAGGGGTGGAGGGCAAAAAAAGGGGGAGCGCAAGGAGGATCAGGTCCCTTATCTCCTTTTACAGGCAACATCAAGGACCGGCCAACGCGGTTGGTCTACTTTTGGGTCTGCTAGTAGGATAAGTAGTAAACTGAGTTGAGTACATTTTGGGTGGACGCTGCCTAAAAGACAGTGTCCGACTAGGTTGGGGGTTTTGGGATTTCACTGTTGCGCAGAAGTAGCAGCCCTGAGATACACCACAGCCCAGTCGCCCAGATTTCGTGGAACCGGAAGCGAGGAAAATGCTCCGAAAATTGCGAGAGTTACGCCACGATCGGAGGATCACGCCCTCCGAATACTGCACACGGTCAAGACGTAGGATCCCGTCAAGACTCTGCGCCTTAAGCTCGGCGTCAGGCGTTCAAATTGGGTAGATGAACGAACTGGGGTAGGGGAACGAACTCCGCCAGTTTTGAGCCGTCTCCGCCGGCAACTGATCCTTTTGCAACGATGTTAAATATCGTAGGACCAGTAGTCCGTGGATGCGGCCTAAACCCTTCTGTAAGCTGCAATTTCGGAGTCAGCGGGAAGAATAAGCCCAAGTAAACGTGAATAAAATTTGCCAGGATACTGCCGCCTTTGTCGTAAACCCTGCATTCAAAGTAATGCGCATATGACAAAAGCTGAATACTGCTTTCCATGACGAACGAGGGTGATTCTTTTCCACTAACGAACACTCTGACTCACTGACAACATCTGAAACAAAACATGAACACAAAGGGTCAACTTTTTTATTCAGATCATCTGAATGTTACGAAAGCATTAACCTTTTACAAGTAAAAGCATACCTAACCCTTCAAGTTTTCAGAGTTCAATCAATGTAAAACTACATTTACAAATGCTATAAGACCTGGTCATACGAATACAATCACAGCTAGTTTGCCATGCAAAGAAAATTCACAGAGGGTAAGACAGACAAGATCTATTGCAATTATAAATTAATTCATGCAGACTTTTCTTGCAGTTAACATGGGAATGTGTTATAAATAATTTAGGCGTTAAAAGCTCGGATTTAGAATTTTTGACTATGTGAGACTATGCAGCTCCTCTGCAGAGTTGCTTAGCCATGTACGCGTCCAGCGATGAGATGCTTGATCACTTCCTCATCGACCAAAGTTGTTGTATCACCCATTCCCGATTCACAACCTTCAGCGATTTTGCGCAGAATACGGCGAGTTACTTTTCCAGAGCGTGTTTTCGGTAGCCCAGGAGCCGACTGAATCACTTCCGGCACAGCAATGGCACCAATTCTCTTGCGAACGATATTCTTGAGCTCGAGCGTCAGTGACGGATTCATTTTCTCCCCGTCATTCAACGTCACGAAAGCGTAAGGGAACGATCCTTTGATGTCATGAGGAGCCGCGACAACAGCAGCTTCGGCAACCTGAACGATTAATGTTAACATGGAGGAAAACGATGACTTTCCTTTTTTAGATTCACCCTTTCATCAAACAGATTGTCAACAAAATTTCGTTTACAGTTCCCATACAGCACATTGGACTGGCAAACAACTTCAAAAGGACATGAAAAACCCAAAGAAAGAATGAAGTAAACAAGCTGAGCACTAGTTGAAGTAGATACATTTCAAGAAATACTAGATCTATTTTTAAGATGACAACTTTCATTTCGTAGTGCAAGCATGATTTCACTGCCAAAAAAATAATGATATGGTAAGAAAGTAACCTCTAAAGAATTAAATGGGGTCAATTTGCATGAAAAAGATATTTTGGCCCTTTTATAGCTTATGAAGCCCCTATATATGAGAATGCTAGTTTTTATCATTTCATGTTCAAAAACTTGAGACAAGAAATTTTGTAAATGTGAGCAAGGACTTCAGCATACCTTCTCGTGCGCCACCAGAGCACTTTCGATCTCAGCAGTAGACAGCAGATGACCAGACACATTCATCAAATCATCAACACGACCAGTTATCCAGAGATATCCATCTTCATCGCGGCGAGCACCGTCACCGGTGAAGAAATAGCCGTTGAAAGGTGCAAAGTAGGTCTTTATGAATCTATAAACTATGAAAATAATCTTTGCAGAGAGTTTCGATGCTCTAAGACGACAGACCTATCATGGTCACCGAACACCGTGCGCAGCATTCCCGGCCAAGCTCTGTCGAAGCAGAGGTTACCCTCACCCGGACCCTCAATGATACGACCTTCAGCGTCGAGAATGACAGGATTGACACCAAAGAACGGGAACGTCGCTGATCCCGGTTTCATGGGAGTAGCGCCAGGCATTGGGGTTATCATATGCCCGCCCTGCAACATGATATCTGGAATATCTCGCAAATGCGCTGCGAAAATTGACTACCGTTTCTGTTTGCCAAAAGGTGTCCACGATAGCGCATCTCCCTTCACCGACCACCTCATAAAGCCACTTCCAAGCCGCGGGATTGATGGGCTCCCCTACCGTACCCAGAATTTCCAACGAAGAACGGGAGTGGCTGCAAAAATCCGTCAATGCTAGCAAATATGAAGCGGATCTAGATAGCTAAGAAGTGCTTCAACCTCACCTTGTCACATACTCATCCCCCATAGCCATTAGCGCACGAATAGCTGTAGGAGAAGTATAAAGCTTGTTGACCTTGAATGGTAATGAGTAAGAAAACGCTCCCTCAGACTACAGAGATGAAATACGATGAAATGACAAAAACTACCTTATACTTATCCGTGATCGCCCACATCCTATCGGGAGCTGGATGGGTGGGAATTCCTTCAAACCACACACCGGTCAATCCATTCATCAGCGGACCATATAGCAAGTACCTAGAGCAAATGATGCAACACTGCAGAGCACAAGTTACAATGAAAACTGAAACTTACGAATGTCCCGTAATCCAACCGCAGTCGGCAGTACACCAGTAAACATCCTTCTCAGGATGAGCATCAAAGGTGCATTTGGTCGTGTAGTACGCGTATACCATGTAACCCGCAGTAGAATGCTGGATCCCCTTCGGTTTTCCCGTAGATCCGCTATAAAACAAAGAATACCCAACAAAAAATAACATTTTTCCAAACAGGAAAAAACGAAAACGATTATCTAGTAGGTATTCAACCTCTGACTTAGCATTTGAGCTACTAAAATATCAGTGGAGGAAAAGTGATATAAGAGAAGAAACTAGAAACGTTTACAATCGATCGAAAGCGCAATTTTCATGCTAGTATCCTAATGGATAATGCATATATCCATCTGTTTGAAAGCAAAAACACACCACCGATATGGTTGTAGTTCACATGAAAATCAAAAGTCAAGTATCAAGTAAAGTATGGAAGCAAAACAGTCACTCACGATGTATAAAGCAAGAAAAGGGGGCTTTCTGCATCCATCCACTCCACCGGTGAATCCACGCCTTTGTACTTGTTCATCTCAACATTATAACAGAAGTCGTTCGGGCCCATTGGTGCATCCTGAATAGGAGGTTATAAACATAGGTATATTTTATTTCAAAGCACTGGATGATACCTGAGGAGTAGCACAGCCCTGAGGCACCGTAACTCGCTTCTGATGCGAGACCATGATGACGGACTTCATATTTACACCGCCTTCAGAGGCTATCCTAACGGCTTCGTTGGCGATTCCTTTCAGATTGACATATTTGGTCCCTCGGAAGAAGCCGTCAGCGGTGACGAGGACACGACATCTGCAGACAAAAAGTGAATGCCCAAACGCACAGCATAAAGCACAATGGTCTCACTTGGCATCAATTATTCGCGCTCCTAGAGCTGAGGCGGAAAAGCCGGCAAAAACTACCGAATGCATGGCTCCTAAAGGACACATCCATAAGGAGAAGATTGAGGGGCTGGTTGACTTACCAATGCGGGTGCATGCGAGCATAGCCACCGCTAACTCGGTGATCATGGGGAGGTAGAGGGCAACAACGTCTCCTTTCTTCACTCCGTGACCACGTAAAACGGCGGAGAAGTTGACCACCTAGACAAACGCTATCATTGACAAGTTCTAGGGAGGAGGGGGGAGGGAAGGCAACCGAATTTGTAATTACCTGAGAATGGAGTTCATTATAGGTGATCTTGAAATTGTCGCTAGGCTCATTTCCTTCCCACAGATAAGCAATCTAAATAGAGAGAACTTTAATGAACTAAGCTAAGAGGTTGTCCATGTTCTTGCTTCGAGATCGGAAAATTGTGCACGGACTGTGTAACAGAGTTACCGATTTAGCTGGATTAGATTGGATTAGGTAGATTCTACACATAACTAGTTGTTATATGTAAAATATGTGTTAGTTGTGGTAGACTACAGCTTGCCATTAATCTTTAACCTGCGCAGTGTAGAAGTGAATTAAGTAGCGGAAAATGGCTACAGAGGAATTGAATGGAAACAATAAACAAAGAAATTTTATGAAAGGTAGCAAAAGCATTCGAAGGAACCAGGCATGAAGTGATAATTACCTTGTTGCCATAACCACGTTTGATGTTCCTCTCCAAGCAGTTATAAGAGATATTGGTCTTGGCTCCGTCCATGAAACGACAGAAGACATCGCCTTTTTTCGCATCAAAATTCCATTCCAATCCCTACAGCAAAACATCATACTTCGATTGGAAGACAATGGTATGGAAGGATACCTTGGAAGTGCCCTGTTCAAAGTGCAACTCTTCGGCTACACTCTTCCAGAACGCATCGGAATTATTGATGGATGAGCGGTATTTCTCACGGTAGGATTGGATCCCACGAACATGGGCTCCAGCAAGGAGAGGAGCAGGAGGAAGGAACACCTGCAAACACAGCAGTAGCAAAAAAGGGCATCATGGCCAAGATGCATCGCTGATAACGGATAAGAGATAAGGAAACCTAGACGAACTCACCTCTTCTTCCGGGGTGGGGGTGGATTGAAGGTCGAACTTCACGCCAACGTCGGACATGGCTTCAGCTAGATCTTCTCTACGTGTAACGTCTGAAACAATCAAATCTGAGAAGCAGCGAAAACAATTCCCACATATGAAAGTGTAGCGGCGAGATCGATCACTGCACACACACCACACACACACGAAGGCACGGGCGGCAAGTCCAGAATCCGCGCGCGCGGCGCATCCCGAGAACGAGTGTGAGTTCCGAGGGGTCAGCATCCCCCGCGGGCGCAGAGCGCGGCAAAGATCACGGCCGAGCAGGAGGCGCAGCGCACACCGCCACCCGCTTGCCAGCAGTGCTGACGACTGAATCCTTCGCACTAGCGCGGGGGGCGGGCCCTGGCCAGCGCGCGCCCCGCCCACCAGCGATAAGGATTGATGGCGGGCTGACGGCGCGGCTGCTGTTCCGGGGGAGCCGCGCGAGCTGCTCAACATGGTTTTGAACTTTTCTGGAAAAATAAATTAGGGATCAGACCTTTACTGGCGACGTGTCCATGGCACAGGACCGGCCATGGGAAGGGGGGGGGGGAGGGAGGGAGAGCTTGAGACTCCAATGGGCAGCTTGCCAACAACTGTGATCTACTAAAGGTACATAGAAGTAGTACGGCGCAGATTTCGTCCGCCATTAAGGAAGGTGATAAGTGATTTCATCAGCAGAGACTTTCCATAGTCATGCTCGTTAAGTGGATTGCTAGCAAGACATCAAAAATAACCAGCAAAATCTTCAGTCTTGCTGGGAAAGCGAAGATCTTGAGGAATTGACTGCTAGTATTCACAGGGTTTGAAAAACTGTCACAGTGAACCCTCATGAATCAAGACATGCAAAATTTAGGAAAAGTTGCTATATAACTGACTTCCACTACTCAAAAAATACCCTTCTGAAAGTTAGAAGGCTGGAACAGAAAAGAGAATGGCGAATCACCAGATTTATGTCAATGAATTCTCAATAAATTTCGCCATAAAAGTATGCATTTATATGCATGACGTAGTCTTTTTTTTCGCACTTTTGAGTATCCATTTCCTTTCAGAGGCGCCTACTTGTTACATGTTCATAGCAAACATCATGTTTGATGATTTTGTCCTCACGAATTTTGTTTTTGCAGTCACCTTTTTCAACGCATAAACGGAAAAGTTGAGGTGTGAGAGACCAGCAGCAGGAAATGGGAGTCATTGTGCCAATTTGATTTTTTTCACTTATTTGAGAGATTAGTTCACTCAGCTAGTCTCAGTGATGAATGTGATTTTCGAGTGCAGATCAAAAATATGCAAACCAAGTAGGGTGACAGAAGAATGACACTTGGGATTCCAAGCAACAAAGTCGATGTTGGGTGAGTACTTAGAGTTTTGGCAGACCAATAATGGCTCACACATGTCCATAAAAGAGAAACTAGTGTTATCAGAGTTTTGTAACGACAATTTGATATTTACTGATGCTTATCTTCATTATGAGCGTTTTTGAAAACTTGATTATGTCATCGGTCAAAGTCCGGCCAAAATAATTTTTTTTCGCTTTCCAAAAAGATTAGTCTTCGAAAAGTCATGAATCATGGTCCAAAGATTTCGATGCTGTCGCTGAACCAACACTAGGATACATTGAAGAACGTCCGCACAAAGTGTTGCGCATAGAAGGGTGTATAGGAAGATAATTTATTCCTGGTATTTTTAATATCCTTTCTGAAATAAGCTTTGTAAGCGTTCCCACAAGCTCTGAACTCCTACCCTTCGTTTGAGTCAGGAACAGAAGATAAAATACAAACGTGAGGTTGTGGGTGTATTTTTACTACAAGTATCAGTTGCTCCAACTGATATTCCACATATGACGCTTGCCACAAATTTGTTTGCGTATATGCTGAAAAAAAAACCGATAAAATCAAACAATGACATCTTATTTCCTGTGCTTTATATGTCAACACTGCAGTAAAAATCATCAGTAGTTAGAGAGAGATAGAAAATATTTGAGGTTTCAAACAGAATGAGCTGCTGATGAAGGCCAGTGCGATCCACGTAGTTTAAACAAAAAACTATCGAATCATAAATAGAATCCTGCAGTTTTTTAGACATCTAGACATTAGAAACAATCAACATGTGCATTCCTTTCGCAGCCGTCGCCTTTAAAACACGAGTAATGTGAAAGATAACACAACAAGAAAAGTCTTTAATTCTCAAAAAACTTGTGAATTCCTAAAGTAAACGGGTGATTATGAGACTGACTCATTTCAAGCAATTTGTCGCTAGCGTAACAAACGGTCAAATCGAATTGTTTCGTAGTTACGAGTCCTTCAATAGACTCTAGCATTTATGAAGAGAAGAAGAGGAAGAGTGGGGGGGGGGAGTGATCGCATATTTCGCTGTGTGAATTCTGCAAAGTTGCCTAGACTAGGGGTAAAAACTGTGTGACATCCGCAGATATCAGATTACACTGAAATTTCACTCGACCAAGGAATGGCGGAACAGTCTTAAAGGCAGTGTCTCACCAAAATTTAGTTGTGGAGATTTTTGCATTTTGCATGCCTGTCGGACCCTGTCTAGCACTGGATGGGCTTAAAATTGCACGAAGTTCCCAAAAACCCCGTTTTCTGGAAGCCCCGTGGAAGCAACGTGGACGAGTTGTACCCTCCAACTTCAGCCTCAGTCACAGTGGCAGCAACAGAGGGGAGGTGGATGCCAAGTGGAGGGACATGTTCAAACGCGTAAAGGGGGAGACCGAAGGAGTCGTCCGCGCGTACCAACTCGCTCTCCGCGTACCACTTTGAGCGAATTTTTCTCAGCGTGGAGGGGGTCAAATTGAGTGGAACTTGTTGCAGTGGCCTATTTGGAGGTCCCTATAGTAGAATATGTGAAGATCCGCGCGACCTCAACTTTGGTGAGACACTGCCTTTAAGAAATCGAGAGGGACAGGTAAGACAGAACGTAAAATTACTCAGAGTGGAAGATGGATAGTTTGCAAAGCTGGAATGTTATAACTTTTTTGTCGAAAATTGGTTCATGCTCAATCTCGCCTGTTGCTAACAAGAGATCAGCTATGAAAACGTCTAAAGAGAGAAGGGTGGACAATTCTGGGGTCTACGAAAGTCGTATTTGTCGAGAAAAATCAGAAAATCTTGAACCAATCTTTTGAGCTGAAGCAGGTGATTAAAAAACAGAGTTACTTCGAGGCTTCATTGTAACACTTGCGATATAGGGTCCGATTATAACAAGCACCCAAACACATCTCTGTTTTTGAGCTTTACACATTTTACAGCGGGTCTAATCACAAGCAAATATTCTCGAATGTTACAATGACGATGTGTTTACAATTTCTGGCAATGGCAAATACCTTTTCACAATAAGCAAGGATAAAGGGCAGGAGAAGCAGCAAGAGAGCTTTCTCTCAACAAAATATGTGGCACTAATTGAGAAGAAAATTCAAAAACTTAGTCGACTGATGATTAAATTCGGTCGTACGTTCCAACCCCTTACCTTCTCCATTGTTGAATTCATGCATCCGTCGAGGTGTTTCCGGACTATCAGTAAAGGGTAAGGCTACGTTCACGATTTCCTGAAAGACTAAAAAGGATGAAGCGATTGAGATACAAAAATTCCATTGGGGAACACGTCATAGGATTTCCTCCTTTCCTTTCATTTTTTCACTATATTTCATCTACTTCTCTCTTTAACAAGGAGTGAAACAAACTTATACTCGAAGATGAGAAGATGCCTTATAATTTTGATGAAGCTACTTTGAGTGCTCTCATGGCTTTCACAGAGCATGTGACCGCTGCATCAAGTGCTTTTTCTTCATTGCAAATCAAATTTCAGCGAACTTGAGGCTGAGCTCAAAATCGCGAATACGCACTTACACAAAGCAGAAAGATTTCTATACTCTCATCGATACAAAATCAAGCTCTCAACACGCATGATTTTGTAGGAAAGAACCAAGCGCTATCAGGCGTTGTTATTTTACATATGGTAACAGTCTGTGTTTTATCTCTCATGATCTTTATGTGAATGAAAAATTGAGATTGTTCTCTTTTCTCTCATGATCGTTTTTATATTTTCATTCTTATTTGAAAGCTTTGTTAAAGATTTTAGCACCATACGCATACTTCTAGACCTCATCAGCAAGCGCCTTGATGATGAAGTTCCCTCCCCTCCCCCCTCCTAACAAGGGTACTAATCGCGAGTACATACGATTTGATAGAAGAAAACCCGGTCCAATTTTTGAGAAAGATGACAAATCAATTCAAAGCCCTGTCTTTGCTACGACGTTACGCGAATATGACACTCAAGATTTCTGTATTTAACATGTTATTTCCGTAAAAATTCATTTTTCGCGAGCAACGCTATTGCCGAGAATTCAGCACTGAGAAGGTTAGTCATTAATTGAGAGCATGCTTGAAATCTAGGAGACGTTGATTGCTGGACAATTAGACTCAAATTACAAACTTATTTGCTCACTTTGCTGCAGAAAATACTCGATAATAGGTGAGCATGACCATTAACTGAGGAAGGTATACTCAACCCGCATTGCAGATATTCTCACTTCTTTCGAAAGGTCGGCAGGTCAAGAAAACAGAATTAAACAACTTTGCGATAAGCATCTATGTAAATTTCCTACGAAGGACATAAGATACCGCAAAGCAACGGAAGTCCGAGAAATTTTCTACAAAATTCTTTTTTGAAATGAAGGGGCATAGTCCATGGGTCCATAATCAATTATTTGAAGTTAAAAGAATTCATTTGTGGATTTTATGACGCATGTAGGCCTTTTAAAGACACCCAGTCTCATTCCCCAGTGATTCACTAACAAGAGAAGGATACTTGGTCGAAGTGACGTTTCTATGTGGAATGTGTACTGTTTCATAGGTCATGAAAACTGATTCCAAATCTACTTGTGGTATCTGCAAAGCGTTTCTGGGAGAGGAGTGCTGGGAGTTTTTGACGCAAGAATTTCAACGCGCAAATACAATAAAATTAGATATTCAGAACTGTAGCCTGTGAGCTCGAATTGGGCCATGATCACTGCCAGAGCGTTTTATGTAACTAATATCTTCAATTTGATAAATTTATGTTATTCGCTACATCTTTCAAGCGCCGGGCGACCTCAGTACTTGTTTTGGCTTAGCCAAACCCTTGGATTTTTGCCTTAAAAATTTTTTATAACTCTCCTCCCACAAGCGCTTTGCAGATACCGAAAGCAAATTTAGGGTCAATGTTTCATGCCCTATAAGATGATAAACATTTTATATGAAAACTCCACTTCGACCAAGTATCCTTCCCTTGTAAGTATAATTGGCTGGAACAGCAATGAAGAACTTGACACAAAAGGAAAAGAAGAACAAAGGACCTTTGTGAGTGATGACTTTATTGAGAGTACGGAAGCAAAAGAGCATTTGTTTGAGGTGACGGATCACTTCAGCAAACCAAACTCTAAAGGACATTTTCGGAAACATGTATGCTCTGGAATCATGAGTTATCTGCCCCTTGAGACCCGAAGGTTGAAATATTATTTTTTTCCACGCAAGGGTCCCGCTTATGCAGGGCCTGCTTGAAGGTTAAATGTTATATTTGAAATTTTGCGGGTAATAAAATCAAGCATACTTTATGAATGATTGTGCTCACGTTCATGACCAATGGGTATCTATGGGAAGATGGTGGCACGGGTCGAAAGTTTCTTTTAGAGAACTATCTCTCTTCCTACTACTCAGACAACTGACCGGAACTTCCGCAGAACGTTTGGGGAAGTTTCGCCGGGTCACCTGTGGAAGTTCCGTAAACGTGCTGCGGAAGTTCCGGAGAATGCGAACTACAACAACAAAAGAGAACCCCGCAGCAAGAAAACCTTACTCCGTTGACTGTGAGGCTCACCTACTATCCCCTGCACTACGACTGATATGTGCGATAATGCATTCTAGTAGCTGGCGAGGCAACATCATATTAGACAACACATTCGAAACCCTGCGGGAGTACTGGCAGGTCAAAGTGCTGCGGAACCGCTGGCAATTTTCTGAAGCTCCGTAGAGGTTTGTATAAAGCCCTATGGAAGTTTCTTTTTTAATTCAGTCTAACGTGAAAATTCTGCGAAAATCCTCATTTTCAACGCTTCCACTTCTGCAATAGTAAACAAAATACTGCGTAACCGCTGCAAATTCTGCTTGACCTGCGGAAGATCCGGTGAATTGTCTGAGTAGAAGGAGATTTCTTCCGATTGCCCCGTACAATGTTTGTTGCTGTGATGTGCTCATGAATCCTTCATTTCGAAGTTTCAGAAAAAGTCACAATGAGCTTTTAATTGCTTTAATTAGGGATCTATCCGTAACGGGGTCACTTTTACTTACCCATGATGAGATCAAAAGCGACTTAGGTTACAAGGGAATGGTAGAAGTCGAAGTGGCCAATCCAAACAAGCTGCACACCATTCGATGTAGCATAGAATGCTGATTACAAACGTCTTCCATATGTGCAGAGCGCCTTTGTAGGCGAAGTTATTTGCAGCTATACTGCAAAAAAGTCGTACACAAAAATTCCTAAATTATGCACGTTATTGCTCTTTTAGACCACCTTTAGGTAAGGGCCATATGAAGTGATCCAGTTGCATGTTTTGATCCGACACTGAGCCGAGAATAGTTTTGTACAGCAAACTTTGCCCTTTACAATTCTTAACAAAATAATGGCCTTTAACGGCTTTAATTTCACCCACAAAAGTGCTCTGCAGTTGACGAAGACAGAATTAGAGTCAGCGTTTTTACTGCAACTAATGGTATGCAGTTTGCTTACATTGGCCACTTCGATTTCTGACTATTCCCTTGTTAAGAGAGAATTATCAAATAGAGAAGGTCTTTTTATATAAAAAGGCCGTTTGCTGGATAGATATTTTATGATTCAGCAACCTAGATGACACTAGAGGACGTTTCATGGTTGAACCAATTATATTCGCAGTGCTACTGCATCTGATAATAAACTTTCTAGCAAATCAATTCAATGGTAGTCAAAAGCCGAATTGCGATAATGAGTAGCAAATATTGCTCTCTATATTTAAGTGAACGACCTGAATAAAAATTCCATGCTTTCACCATTGCTAAGATTGATGTTTTCCGTGTGGAACTCCATAGCTATTCAATAAAGGAAAATTGAATCAACTTGTTCTCAACGTTTTGGAAGAAATATTGAGCGAAAAGATTGTTCGGTTATGGTTTAGCAAATGCTAATATTACATGAAATGTGATAGTCGTGTGACGTCAAATAGAAGCTAATGAAGACATTAGCAAAAAGTTTCCTCCATCCCACTCAAATTTTGGACTGCGTGCAGGAAGTCTGTGATATTTTTCAGATATGTCTTCGAGACACTCCAACAATCATCCATTTGCTAAACAACTCTGCATTGCCTCTGTTTGACCGATCAGGTCTTTGGCCTATTGAATGCTTGTTTCACAAGAAACAACGCTGGCAATTACCGATCTGCTGAATAAATCAGTTAGGGGAAAAATCTCGGTACTATTCCACTTAATACAACCCAAAAATTGAAGATCACGAATCTGCTGAAAATACGCTTAAACGGTATATTCGACCTGCTGATCACGAAAATGTTATTTATTTTGTATGATGGGACATTTTTTGAGAGATTACGGTAGGCATACGGTGCGGGGCCCAAAATCTCAAAATTGGCTAAAGCTTTGCATGGGAGGGGCGTATTCGACATTCTGACCACGTATACACACTATTGCCGCACGAAAACCTTCCCTTCTATGGTTACGGTAGGTATGTGGTAAGAGGTCAGGACAGTAGATCTGCCTGAAACTTTGTGCAGGGGTGTTATCTGATGAGCTCATCACGAATACCGCGCTCATTTCGCTTATAAAGCCTTCTCGTGGATTTTTGGAAATTGTCTGAAAAGCGGGGAAGATACTTACCTAAACGCTGCAAAGTGCCATAACTCCACAATAAAGCGTTGTTGTAGCGCACAAGCCTGATATTCGTTATTATCATGCTCGGAAACCCCTCTAGGCAACGTTTTAAGCAAGTTTGGAATTTTCACCTATCTACCGTATGCCCACCGTAACTCGGGGAAATGGCACTAACATACAAAGTCAATATAATGTTCATGTAACTGCTAAATAACCCCTCCAACCAAATCCCAGCCAAATATATATTTTGACCCCCTACCGCACACCTACCGCAACCGTACAGGAAGACGTTTCCGTGGAAGAAGTGTGATAGTTGTCATCAACATGTTGAATAACCCCCCGCCGCCATGCAAACTTTTAGCGAATTTTGAGATTTTGACCTCATACCGTATACCTATCGTAACCCCCCCCAAAAAAAACGGCCCCACCATGCAAAATGAATATCATCTTCGTGATTAGCATGTCGAAAAACCCCTTTAGGTGAATTTTGGCGAAATCGGACTTTCAATTTTTGGGTTATACTAAGTGCTCAGACAGTCGGTGCCGTAGCTCCGAAGGACAGTCGAAATTTGGCAGAGCCGCGGAGGACCCAACTGACCATTGAGAGCGGGGCGAGGCGGCGGTCCCTTCTTGTAGGTCACGTTGACGTCACAAGCAGGCGAATGGGACCCCTCTCCGGGACGCGCAAATCTCTGCTCCGGAGGTACGCCAGATTTGGAAGAGCCCCGGAGCAGAGATTTGCGCTCCGGAGGTACGCCAGATTCGGGACATCTCCGGAGCACAAAATGGGAGGGCTTCGGAGCACAAATGGGAGGTCTAGGGGGGAACAAATGGGAGGGCCCCCTAGCAGAAAATGGGAGGTCTCCGGAGCACAAAACGGGAGGTCTCCTGAGCACAAAATGGGAGGGGTCCGGAGCACGAGTGGCAATCCCCCGCTGGGGAAACCCCGCGGCTCTGCCATTTCTGCTCCGGAGGTATGCCGTCGACTGTCTGAGTGGACAATAAAATCTCAATTGCTATAATTTTGCTTTCGATTCTCGATTGGCTCATTGGAAATAACATACAAGTGGATCTAAATATTAGAATACATCGAACCACTTATCCTTACAAAACGATCTATGCTACAAAACTGACCTTCTGAGTTATAAGAAGCTGCGCAGTTGCGCCAGCCCCCCAACCACCCCCGACGCAAGAAATGAGGCATCCTCATGTTCTTGTTAATTATCCGACTATCATGCATTACCAGGTCAAAACACGTTTCCATTGTCTGGACGTGTTGTGCACTGGCAAGTCTTTTTTTTGGAGGGCAAGCATCAAAATTGTTTCAGCTTTCACCATAGACACAAATTCGAGCACCATGTTGACGACGAAAAAATCCCCTTATTGAAGTGGAGATGGTCACTTCAAAAGTTTAGTAATAATGGTCACTTTAATAGTTTAGTATAATCACGTTCAACCCGGATAATTATGCAAAACGCCCATATTTTGAAGGCCACTTCAATTCAAATTTACCTGGTCTATAAATTTCTTTGAGGTAGTTAAAAAAAACTTGTTCAGCAAAAAAGGCTAACCCACTTGTCTGAGGAAAATGCATACATATACGGACTCAACGGAAACCTGTTGGTAAACATCAAAGCTCACACAACATATGCAACTTATACTAAGCATTTGGTTGTGTTCAAGGTTGGATAAACCGCAGACATTTTCTCACTAGAAAAATCGTCATTGTATTACAGACTGTCACACTTGTCAGACCCTCAAGCCAGTTAAAATATTCCATGCTCCAATGACAACCGCATGACCGCCGCGAACAAAAATCTTTGAAATTTTGGTTTCCTTTGCTGTTTGCCTTTTGCTAATTTTCTAAATTCTCTCTTATTAGGTGCCAATGTCAGTCAGTAATTCCGGCTATGAAGTCGCTTTGAAGATCAATGCTGTCTTGACAAGGATCCAAGCAGAACTGAAATGTGGTGTATGGTGCGTTTTTTTCTGTTGACAATTCCATCGTTTTCGTTCATTCTTTGAATGTATATATTTCAGTCGCTCTACTTTCTCCAATCCAGTAGCTGCCAACTGCGGTCATACTTTTTGCGAAGAATGTGTAAACCAAGTTTTCGAACGCAGGCGCTTCGTTGAATGCCCCCTATGTCGGGAAAAGATGAACAAGCGGTAAATCACTATTCATATTTTCTCTTCTACTGCTGCAAGTTCTAGGAGCTGCACTACATCTGAACAGCTTGATGCATTGGTGAAGGGGTACCTTCAACTCGGCAAAGTTTTTCGCACGGAAGTACAGACTCAGACGATATCCATACCTCAGGAATTAGCTTATATGGAAAGCCAGGTAACGCTTAGTCTAGTTTTTTATCCTTATTTGAATCGTTTGTTGTACCTAGATTCCTGCTGCACCCGTCAGCGACAGCCCTTTGCGTGACTTTCGTCCTCCGGAGCCCCATTTCGCCTTACCTAAAGCGGTATCAGTGATTTTTGTAGCTCCCTTCATGGATTTTCCAAATCTTCTTACAGCGTGCAAGGCGGAAGCAACCGCTCAGCGTTCATAATCCCAAGCAACAAAAAATGGACACCATAAGTGAAGAAAGCGAAGCCAAGGAGAATGTGGATCTGTTGCGGACCAAGGAAACAGAAAATAATGAGGTTCATCCTGTGAAGAAGGTCTATATGCTATTCTCGACTTGCATGATCATCTTCGATCATTAACCGAGTTTTTGCTTTACTTTATTGAAAATACAACTACTGCAAATCGTCAATAATGTATAGACGCTCGCAAACATGTCTATGAAATGTCGTCATAGACTACGGCTGTACTTACTTTGAAAGGCAGATATAGATTCGCTAACTTGGCGCAGATTCAGTAGCGGCTTGGACTTTTCGTCCAAGAGCAAGCGGCTGTAGATTGATTGAGAATTGAATTTCTAGTGATTTGAAACCAGTTCATCTCACGGTTTTCATCAAGTATAAATCTGGCCGCAGCCATTTTTGCCACTTGCATACTGGCAGTGTATTTGGAATTTTCGCGGACTTTTTGCAAGTTTATAGACTGCTTATAGCTTGTGACAGCTTATGGATTACCGATGCAATACTTATACGGTAGTCATAACGCTAACTTCGTACTCATATTACACTAATCCAAGCTGCAACTTCAAATGACGGTAGATTTTTTCAGTCGATACTAGCTCGCAGAAGTGAGACCGATTTGTTGCGGTATGCTAGATCCAAAACAGTCGAAGTTCAATGTGACCTTCCGAACCCTTCCTGTGTTTGCCGAAATTTACGTGGTGCTCTAGCGTCGTTTAAAGGTTTGTTATTTTTGCGTCATTCATTTACGATGCTCCAAATTTCGCTCTGCTTACTTTGATTTCTGAGTTTTGACATAGATCCATTGATAACATTAGGTGTGCTGATTCTATGACCATAGAATCATAGTAAGGGTAGTGGGTGTTGTAGAACTCTGTCATTTTACGAAATGGAAGCGCCTCCTAAACTTACATGCGTTAAAGCATAGGATACACGCCGTTGGCCTCTGTGTTGATGCACTAGCTAGTACTAAGCAAAATTATTTCATGCTGCTCTGAATCTGGAACGTTCTTCATTCTTCCTTTCCAGACATCAACCAAAAATTAGACTATCCATCCGATTTGCATGCACTGTTTGCAATGGTACCTGAGTACAAACAGATACTTGAAGAGGTACGTTCGTCTCGTGAGTTATTCAAATTGGGTAATGAACAGTAGTGTTTTGTTTGAGATTGGTGAATTATGCTAAGTTCGCTATCGTATTGTACTGATTTTTTGAAACTCTATGTAAAATTAAAGTGAGCGTATCCCTTGACAACGAGTTTCCGAGAATCAAATGCTTTTACGAAGAGCCATACTCGATGACATCACTTCGCTATCAAAGTTGATGTTGTCTTTTTATCGGTGTGCGGGCTGAAGTTGGTTTAGATCAGTTGAGAAAGGGACGGTATGACGTAACAAATCTAGTGCAGCGGAGTGGGGGGGGGGGGGAGAGAAATTAAGACACAGGATAGTAATACTAGAGTTCCATGCATATGTTCTCGGAATCTAACTTTCAAGTTTTACATGGGAGCTTTGCGTGAAGAACAGAGCTTGCTATGTTTTCTGATGTTTGTGTTTTTGCTGACGATGAAATATTGTTTTTGAATGATGCGAATAGCTCTACGCGACTTTCGCTCGCTTATCTAGCAACTTGTCTATTGCACTGGATTCCACACCACAGTATCAAACTACAAGTCTTTTTAGTTTGGTTCAGTACAAGATGATCTGGTCTTGATCTGAAAATCATAAGAAATGTGTTTTTGCATGAAATTTGTTTTTATGGTGATTTTTCTCCTTTTCTTGCAAATTTGTTGAGCTTCGGATGAGTTATGATTGCTGAGTATACTGCAAAATTGCTTCCTTTCAGAACTTACCCGCTTTATACGAACTAGTACCATTTCCACAAAGCACTAGCAATACCGCATGCGTTCTTCCACAAGCAGAGAACTGTGAGATAGCCGCTTCAGTGAAGATTGATCTGGGTAACACTCTCAACTTTTCACATCATTTGTCCAATGCTGCCCTTTGTAAGATGCGGTGTCAGACGACGTCTGCGAAGATGATTTATGTGAAACACAGCCTAGCCCATTTGTTCTCGAAGCAGACTCCAGAAACTGTGTAAAAACAGCGGTATGTTTTCTCTTTTTACAAACGTGTGGTATCAGTGTGCATACATCCCAAGGTTACTTTCAGCTTCAAAATGTGGAAAAGATGTCGCCGTGTTGTTCAAGGTCATCAGGCGGTGTTGTGCCACAGTCTTCAACTGACGACGATGATGAAGATGAAATGGAGATCACGCTCCATGGAAATTTCGAGTCTTTTCCAATAGGTGCGTGTTAACTCCCCAGTTAGACTTATTTGCGAAGGTTAAGTCGTCTTGTTCAGAATCTGAAGCATGCAAACCAGGGCCTACCGATATAGCTGCTGAAGTATCATCTCCAATATTCATAAGCGTTTCACGCATGAGCTGCATAGAAGACGAGGTTATTTCCATAATCTTCAGAAACATTGTTCCGACTGTGACTGTGGACTTTCAGAAGCTTCTGCAAGAATTTTTGGCTTTGTTCCCGAACGTGCATTACAGTGAGGAACTCACTGTCAAGACAACACATTTGGTGATGATGAACTCTCGTAGGTTTTTTGAACATGGCAGTTGCTGGTGTTACTATAAATAAGATTTTTTGGAATTTGCCTTCTTCTTCCTTTGCTTTTGAGCGTCCCTTTCAGCGATATGCGCTTGTGAGTGGTGCTACTTAATCAGGCTGAACCGCATTTTATATCATTGCCCATTTTCAACGGCATTGTCCAGGTCAACTGGGGAAGGGGAAGGTGGGATTTTGACGCAGAGCACTTCTGGATGATGCAACAGTTCAAGTCCGATCGAAAAAGATGGATTCTAAAAAAAGTCTTTAAATCAGAATACGGGGCGGTACGCTAATCCCGCCTCCTTGAAAAGTTTTGATGTGGCGCGGCTGTAGATCTAATGTTTTAACCACGTCAAAACTTGTCAAGGAGGCGGGATTAGAGTACCCCCTTTTTTTCCGAAGAAATTTTCTCGCTTCAGAATCCACCTTTTTCGATCGGACTTGAACTGTTGCATAAGTAAAGGACGTGTTCCGTCAAAATGTTCCACCACACTCCACTTGACCTGGACAGTGCCTTTGAATTGTGCTTTGTACGCGTTTATTGTCCACCAATCGGCAATATCTAAAGATTATGTGAAGCATGTTAAGGTTACGTACCTGAATGTCAAAGCTTCTCAAAATCTTGACTTTCCCTGTAGCGCATGCGCAAAACGAGCTCTTCGCGCCGTGGATAATAGTTGTTATAGCTTTCCTTCATATTTCCCACAGTATTCTTTCTGCCTGATTTTTATGTATTCTGTCTGATAAGTTGAAAACAGTTTGCCTATAACGGCGGTATGCCCAAACTATCTATGCAGAAGCTGAGAAGCATCTCTCGGGCATTGAGCATATATCTTTTGTAGAACAGTCGTGCGAGAGGCGGTCGTTACGATATGTCTACGCTGTTGCACGCAAATGTGAGATACTGAGCCGGTGCTGGTTGGAGGAATGTACGAATTCAAAGCGATTGCTACCTACGGTCAGAATTATGGATACAAAATAAGTGAAAAGAAATTGTGACCATCGAGTTCAGGAAAAATATGGTCTGTCGTCAGAGCTAACGTCGGAAACACCTGGTTGGCTTCGTGCAAAATCCTCGACTAAGCAGTTGTTTGAGAAGACGAAATTTTTCCTGCCTCAGTCCTTTTCGGAATCAAAGCATCTACCTCTTGAAGTAAGAAGTAATCAGTTGGTTTTCACGAGCAATGATATATGCATCTATTGCAGAGTTTAAAAGAGCTCATCTCCCTTTGTGGAGGAGATTGCTGCGAAAAGCCTTGGGAAGTAGCTGGTGCGCACAAGGCTTACACAATCTTCAAGCCGAAATCTTCTAACTGGAATGAAGCACAGCGTTACGAAGCGAGTATGCAGGGTGTGCCAGTAAGTCCTCTAACATGTCATTCGAATTGAATAGAATAGGCGGGATAGAACACATTTTATTAAACGTCATGGATAAGAAATCACGTTTTATTCGAATGATTTCAGGTTTTTACGATGTTTCTGAGAATCAATTTCTCCATCATTTTCACTTTTCTCATTTTTTTCCTCTACTAAGAGGTTTTCAAGTGGTTTAGTTGATGTTTTTGAAATGGTTTCTTTATATTTACCGCAGCTTTCACATTACATTTCCTTGAACTCCATAATTCTGTTATCAGAAACTTCCAATCAAGTTTTTTTGAACAAAGATATCTCTAGAAAACTGCATTCAGGTACTTGTCGCGGATTGGATTCTGGATTCAATAGCTGAATTTCGTTTGATGCCTATCGACGCCTACAAAGTGCGGCACCGGTAGCTGGAAACACAGAACCATTTTGGAGGAAAGAAAAATCGATAACTTCTAGTTGCTCCCACCCTTTCAAGCGCAGTTTGTTCTCTTTGGCTTTCTGCTTGTATGTCTTGCATGCATCGACCCCTCATTTTTGTATGACATCATGACCCCTTGATTGTTGCGTGATTGCGCTTGTCCTTTGATTGTACAGATTGTTGTTGTCTCGCGATTCAAAAAATTTATGAGACTATCGGAATTTAGCGATGCAGATGGTTCCTCCAGACATAGCAGAATTTTTCATTATTCACTCATGGTTTCATAGGCAAAATGAGTAGTGAAGGTTACAGGGTGCGCCAAAATTATTTGCGCCAAAATATTCAAAGTAATGCCACAACAATGGCAATGAGAAATTTGGTCTGCATTTAATGTCACAGAATGCAGTAAGCATATCTACAAAAAGCACTATCAAGATCCCAAATCGGTCTTTATTTAAAGAAGTAAGAATTGCAAAAAGCAATGTTCGTGACAGAAAAAACGCAAGTTGTTGCAAATTACTGAATAGCCAAAATTTTTGTTTTTGAACGCTCTTAAAGATTCCGAACCTCAGTGATCTCAAAGTCAAAGATTAGATCTGTTTTAGGCGAAATCTTCACCTGAGAGAAGCGATCACTAAAAAGATACATACTGGGCAACTTTGTGGGCCTCTACCCGCGTGCAGCACGCGACCAAAGTCAGAGAAATGTTATGAATTTTTACCAAAAAGCAAAACAGGCGATTTTACTCCTTTCAACTAGGATGCAATATTGTAGAAACTAGAAAACAATATCAAGCTTTACCGCTGGCTGAGCCGGTCTTATGTTCGTATGGCGCTTAATGATACACGCGCAAATAATTGTGGCGCACCCTGTATAGAAACAGCAGGGATAATTCCATCATTTTGCAGGGCCTCCTTGAGCTGCTTTCTTAATTTTAGCTAACTAAAGCTTATCGCTGCCATTTTTGTAGTCAAGGAAATCACGAACTTTCCACATTTTACTGAAAGCTTATACTGGAGCCGATATAGTTCAATGTAATTTGAATGGATTGAGTTTTTTGAAAAAGGAAAAATGGAGTCATCCATTCTCTCCAAAGATTAAAAGTCACCGTGATTTCCGTATTATTGAACCTCCTAGTGTCAGGGTGGTAAATCTACAGTTCTGGTACAAGACGGCTGACAAGTAGGGCTAGACAAAGCTAGTGAGAACTTACATGTCTTTTTTTGGACCCTTCATACTAGATGGGATACAGAAGGGCAAGTGCTCTTAAGAGATCCTGACGCTGTATTTACTTTTCTTGGGCAGATTTTCCTCCAGAATTTTCCGATAATGTTGAAGTAATTGCAGAAGTTACAAACTCAGTGTTTCTGCAGTCAAAGTTCGCATAGCGGTGTCCAGAAATTGCGGTAATGCCTGTACTCTGCAGAATCAAGGTTAGATAATGATTAAACAATGAACCCTGTTACAGAGAACGAGATTTAGTGCATTTTTGCATTGCGATTTTTCCAATAACAGGGCTCTTGGTAACATTTCAGTAACTCATAGAAAAGCTAGTAAGGAAGACCGTGAAGACCTGCACTAAAAGTTGTTTCACTTATATGTGCTTGAATTCCTCTCAAACTTTGTGAGATTTTTAGCCTAAGTTTAGAAAGCGAGTACAAATCAAAAACTTCGGGATATATTTTGAAAAATCATAGTAAAACAGCTCGAAAAAAAACTACTAAAATGAGGAAGAAAATCTGCGCCGTATACTGTTTCCTATTTGCGGAAGGGTTAGAGTGGAGAACACGAGTTTCCATTAACTCTGTGTAAACCTAGCATTTCTTCAAAAGCGGGTGTTGCTACTCTGCATGTGCCCATTCTAGCAGCTACTGTTTGACTTGCAGTGACTTCCGAGAGTTCCTCGCATAATACAAACTTTTTATTGCATACTTGATTTCTTCCTGCTAAACAATGGAATTCGCAATTTGACATCGGCGCATCGCTGAGATCTGGAAGGTTTCAAAGCTCTCCTATAGTGAGGGAGTTGGAAGTCTGTCGTTTTATTAGCATCACGTAAATTGGTAGATTAAGTGGAAAGATCCAATGGATGAGGGGGGGGGGGGGGGAAAGTTAGAGAAAAGACGGCCTTGCAATAGACTCTTGCTTCTTGGAATAGTGGTCCACGGGTGAATACTCTAGCATAAAGATGTGGAATAGTAGTTCCCTGAAGAGGGAACCTACTGTGGCGGTTTCTTCCGCTACATCGTTCGGGATCTCTAAACTTCTCACCTCATTCGTCAGAGTCCCTCGATAATGCGGTCATAGATAGCGACGGTGGTTCTTTGAACATCTTATCGTCACTATTGTGTGCGATCACAGAAAAACCAAGGAAATTCTATCTGATTTACAAGTCACGATATCCGGCTCAGCTTTGCAGAGTAAATACTCTCAAATGGAATGGTTTGTGAAAAATCAGCAATGTGTATTTTAGGACGAATGGCTCTATCGAAATCTGAATCTGAATGGGAAAAGCTTTATTTGTCGCTCCTTTTGCCTACATTTCAGTTTAGCTCTGGTGGTGGTAGTCCACGTAGAGCCTTTACAATCTTGACCGTTTCTAATTTTCGCTCATTTTGAAAATACTAGCAAAATGCCATTGTTCGCGAACACTTAGCGCAATTTTTCGCTGTAGCGTGCTTTCACACCAGCTTTTTGCCATTTCGAATATATGGTACAAGGAGTAGGGTCTTCATTTACCTACTAGAAAGCTCGAAAGAAAATGTACACAGCTATCAACCTTTTTCTAGAAGTTTACACTAAGGCACTGAAATCGTGCCTCTTTGTTTGAACGATAGAGTAGTAAATTATTGTTTAATATTCACTATACTATAGTATGCTTGCTTAAAGGGTGCCTTTCCTAGAAAGCAAGCAAGACAATGCAACAGTTCACATAATATTGAACACATGACAAGAAACGACTCGGATCAGTCGGTTACGCTTGAAACAGCTTGCGAAGTGTCAGCTGAGATTCGGTTCACCTGAGTGATAGTGTAGATCAAAGAGGAACGGGCAGCGAGGTCCATTCGCGAGATTAACGAGGTACTGACCGTATTCCCGTGATGAGAAACATATTGATGCATAACAAACATTAGTAGCTATGTCACGAACATAAATTTGAAAATATCAAATGCGGCAGCGGATTCAGAGAAGTCGGAGCGAGGACAGCACCAGGGCAGCGATGGTGGAGAGGGCAGCCGTTGACGAGGTCATGCCCTCGGAATAGACTCGCACTCCTGCAAGAAATTATTTCAGTTTCAGTAGACTAACGATCGAACTGGTGCCCTTGCGGTGATGGCAACATTTGCACGAACAAATACAGGGTATTGTGGGATCGTGAAGGTCTTAGTGGTTGGGTACATTGCTCACGCAGTACGCCACAAGTACCTGAACCACTCAAAAACAAATCCATCCAGGCCTTTCAAACCTGCTCCAAGTGATTAGATCCTAATGTCTGGTGGCAGAAAAGTATTAGGTTGTAAAGAAATTTTCGGGCACTTACGAAAATTTTCAAAATCGCTGTAACTTCAAGCAGACTGATTCTTTTTTGAAGCTACAGACTTCATTGCAAAAACAATTTCGTCTACAACATATATTTGTCTTGCTGGCCAGCACCTCACAACTGTACCAGCATGCGCAGAATGGAAAAAGGTCGTCGCGAAAAGTGGCCTATTTGTGCAGGATTATCTCAGGCACGACGAAAGCTGGAGAGCTCAAATGCTGCAGTTATACAGAAGTCTGCTGTTATTATAGGGACCATTCATGTTTTTGCAAAACCACCTGCAAAAAATATTCTTCCAGAAAGTTTGAAAAATCGACCGTTTTTTGCCCTCAAAAATGCACCATTTTTCGCGTAAGTTACTTTGAGGTCTTCTCGTTCTGCACAGGGCGGACCGAATCTTTGATTACTGCGAACATTGTTGGGATAATGTCTTACACATCTTTTGGACCCATCACCTTGGCGCGGCGATCCCTTCAGAAGCGACATCAGCTGCGAAAAGAGTTGCAGTCAGAGGCAAGTTTGACGGCTTGTAATTTCTGAGCACAAATTGCAAAACTCGAGTGCAGCTGCGGGTTAAAAGTCAACAGGTTTCTCAATCAGATCACTCATGATTTGGGCGGAATTCTTTGAATTGCACAAAAAATGGCCGTAGGAAGAAAAATTGTGAAATTTTTATGGTTAGAAAGATTTTTCTTTTTGAGTAGATCAAACACGTCTTGGCATCGATAAAAATCAGAAGCCGTATTGAAAGCTTTAGGCTTTCTTCTACTGAAAAGTACAGAAAACTTGGTGTCAAAGTCCGACCGGGCGCCGGAAAAATGCGGTTGAAAATAAAATTTCCAAAAGTGCCCGGGAACTTTCTTTACAACCTAATATTAGACAGGCAAACGAAAACGAATGAAGTCCTGTTGGCGTATCATGTGATAATGGCCGCAAACTCACCGAACTCACAACCAGGCACGACCCTATACTATGCTTACTACCTGCTGTCAACTTGCTTGTGACTTACGGCAAAATATCATCCAAAGCACATTACCACAGTTTTACGCGCAAATGTTGTCGGCGATCCAAGAACACCATTCGTCATATCTACTAAGCAATGGCGTCTCAGGATTTCCGTCCGGGGGGGAGGGGCGGCAAAATTTGTTTTCAAAAAAAGGTGCGCGGCGTAAGCCACGCACTTCAAATTTCAGGGTAGCTTCCCGAAATTTTTGCGGACCCCCAACCTCTGACATTTGGAAAAAGGGGGCGTGGGGGCCATGCCATGCCCCCGAAAAATTTTTTCTCATAAGGCTAACTTGAATTCTTAAAAATTTGAAAAATTATTTTAATTGCTTACAAGAATAAACAAGTCAATTGCACATTTTTAATCCACGTAAGCAAATTTTCAAAATTTCGCTACCCATTCTCGAGAAGAGGGGGGCGCTCACTTCCTCCCCCCCCCCCCCGGGCCGCCACTGCTACTAAGCGTTGATACCCGTGTTTGTACAGTATATAGCTGGATCATTTGCAACCTAATATGGAGTTTGCACATTTCGCGAGCACCTCATGACTTCTCAATTGAAAATATATAGTGAAAATAGATATGGATCCTACGGGAGAACGAACTCTGACATTTTAAGCTGCCTACGCGACAACTGGTCCTTTTGCGATACTGTTGCATGTCGTTTGAGAAGAAGTCATTCGCGAAAGCGGCCCAAAGAGGTAGGTTCGCTACTCTACCCGAATCCTACATTTAGCCATATTCAAACAGGAAGAGAAAAAGGCCTTCCGAAATGGACAAAAAGTGTCGTGAGATGACGCGCGTGGCGTGCAATTCGTACATTAAGTTTCAAGTGACTCGACAATACTCCTATTTGTTTCAGCCCCGCACTTGCACACAGGAAGACGGATAATGGCTGACGGCTCGTTCACCGTATTGCATTGTTTCCTGCTGTGGAAGTCGTTTGAGGGCTCAATTTGGCCGGCCGCCAATTTGGGGTCCGACTGATTGAAATGGCCCGCGGCCGACTCAACTCGATTAGGAGGAGAGATAGCCCATGACTTTGAGCTCAGCCGTCATCCCATTGTACGCAAGCACTGGTATGCACCCGTGGACCCGCGCACCTCCCCAGGGCCCCAAGCTGAATTAGCCAGCACTTACCCTGTCGTTGCCGCTTCACGCTGTATCGCAGCAGTGGTCCGGTGACGGAGTTCTCCGAGTAGGGATCGCTGCGCAGCTCCAACAGCAGCCAGTTCGCCTTCGATCGCAATTCGGTTATGTTCAGCGAGCCGTCGCATGGCAGCCTGCAAAACATTCGTTAGAAGCGCATCCGACTCTCTTTGGATTTGTTATGAATCGTATGCGAGCTGCTGATGCATTGTGCCTAACTAGAAACGACATCTTTCATGGAGCAGGAGAACACACTCATTACAAGCGAGCAATTTTTGAGGTTTATTCCAGAAGGCTTGTCCAATTCTGCACCCAAAAACTACCACATCCGGTTGTGTTTTTCGGAGGAGGGCGAATGATGCGAAAATTGTCTGAGGAAATTCTGGAAGCTGACTGATTTCCGGAACCAGTTGTTTTTGTGGGTACCAAGAATATCCAGTTTTCTCCACAATCATGCGCTCTGTGTCTCAATAATTCATCGTTTTTTTTTGAATTCTATTGGAGCTTGTCGTGTTCACAGTCAAGACTTCGCAAGAGCTTGACTGGAAAAGAGGGTATCATTGGGAAAAAGGACTGGTAAGCGCCTGGTAAATGTTAATTCCTGGAATAATCATCAAAATTCAATGCCTGCGTGCTAACAGCAACGAAAGGCCAGAACACGGCCAACAGTCGAAATAAAAAATTTTGGTAGCATCGCAAACTGTCACAATTCAGTAAAAACCTTGTAGAGAAAAAGAACTTTAACTCCGAAAGAAAGTAAAAAATGGTTAGAAATGCATTTTCCAGACTGGCATGATCGAACCATAAAAAAGTTTCCCCGTCAAGAAACATTCCTCTCATGTATATAATAAAAAAAGTAGCGACAAGTTTTGGTGACGGCATAATTTTCGCCTTAAATTACATGTTAAAAAAATTTTGTTTGATAAACTTTCCTTAGTCTTTTATGTCCGATAAATCATTGAATATCAAAAACTGATAGGAAAAATATCAGAATGACTTCTCATTATCACGCAAGAGAATCTCCAAAGGTTGAGGAACGGCATAAAAATTTCATATTCAATTCCGTGAGCAAAAGTTGGTCGTATAGATAAAATTATTCCGTAAGAAAACAGAAGAAAATATTGCTTTACGGACATGATGTGCTTTTCGACTTAGATTCGGCGACAATTCCTTTTCATCAGTTTTATTTATTTGGTCAAAATTACTAGTGTTTTTCCCACGTGACTGAACTAACAATAAGCGCTGAAAGGACCAATTATTCAGCGAAAATTCAAAAACGCGTCATTTGCTTAAAACAGTTCCGAGCGTTGATTTTGAGGATGCGCGCAAAGGACGTTGCCGATTTCCTGTTATTGTTGGCGAACGCGGATGTGTCTTCGCAGATTGCCTAATTATGCATCTAATTACTCAGGACAACTACGGAATAAGCGTGTGGTTCGTTAAGGGCGGAAGGTCGCGCGGAAGCCCTTCGTCATAGGGCAGAGCGAGTCCAAGAGAAAACACAGAACTCACGGGCCAACTTGGTCCTGCTCGCCGAACACCGTGAAGAAGTCGTTGCAGCGAGCTCCAGGTCGAACATCTTCGCCGTCGAGACCGAGCCGTTCAATGCTCACTTCGATCACTGCCCACGGGTCTGAGGACTGGAAAACATATTTGGTAGATCAGAACATTGGGAACTCAAGGAAGTGATTTCTGTAGCCTTATACAGTCCATAATATTGACTGTAGGTACCCCTACACTGGAGACAGCATTTGCGCGGAAATAGATGCAATCCTTGTTAATGCGCATAACCTGCTTGTGAATTGCGCGTTAAGGTTGAAAAAAAAAAGCGCACATGCATTTCCACTTTTTTACGCGCAAATACTGTAGACATCTCAAGAACACTGCTCGCGAATTAAATTATGACTGAAGGACTCAATTTGTAAGTTTTTCTTAATTCATAAGTGTGGTTTCAAAAAAGCGTACAGGCTAACCCAGGGCTCAGCACAGCTGGCACCGGGTCAAGCTAGATATCGTTTTTAGGGCGGAAAGCAAAGGGTATATCGTTTCTACAGGGGCCGAGGCGGAGAACTGCCGCAAAAATGCCGCCGGCATGCCACCGGCATGCCATTGGCAAGCTGTCCATCAACAAACAAAGGCGTTGTTTTCAGCCAAAACGCAATAGTATGACACCAAATTTGGTGTGTGCATGCGCGTTGGTGGACCGGAACTACCGGCCAAAAATTTACGAAAACTTATGTGAATGTAAGCTGTGCCGAACTTTTTTCTAAATTAGCTGGCACCGTGCCAGCTGGGTGCCAACTGGGCTGACACCGACACTTTGCTCACATAAGTTTTCATACTTTTTTACATAAAATGTATCTACACTGTAAAAGATTACATACGGAGAAGAAACAGTTTCATAATGTTCTCTTTTCAGCGTTTTATAGCAATTTGAAACCACTCGGTCTGCTCCGCAGTCGAAAAATCGGCTTTTTCTGCTTCTCAAGATGTGATTCGTCCACTTAAAAACCTCAGAAAGCTGGGAAAAGTTTTTTCATGAAATCAGAAATGCATGAAAACACTACTACATTTTTTTACAATAATATAAAAATGATGCGGGTTTTCAAAACAGGTCAAAAGGGACTTCGTACAAAATTTTCAATATCAAACGGGACTTCGTTTTGAAATTTTCCTGGTGCCAGCTCGTGCCGACCCTGGGCTAACCTATCGAAACAAGGAGCTCCTTTCCTTCCTCAAAAACCTCTTGACATTCTATACACAAAGGAGAAATTTCTGAAGGATTTCACTATCGAAGTGAGAAAGTCACTCCTTATCCTGACATAGTTTTTAACAGGAAACTATCTTTCTATTTTCAAGAATTTGCACAATCCACTTGAAATGAACTGGAAGCATCAAGATTCTTTGAAACAAAGTAGAACAACTCAGAATTTTGCAAAATTCGATGAAAGCTTTTTTGATCTTCCGCTTTTGTAGATGCTTAAAAAATGACTTATTCCACTACTTTAAATGGCACTTTTAGGAAGCTTTGAAAAAGTTTCTTCAAGAAGTGAATAGAGGAATGACAATTCACATATACCCTGTTCAAATTTTTGACATCATCAAAATTACAAGCATACTCACTTCAAGAAGCCACTGGCAGAAAGTCGTCTTTTCGCGAGGTTCCGGGTATGTGGACAAATTCAAGACACCATCGTCGTTGGCATCAATGACTCCACAAGATGAGTCGGTAAATGAGGCTTGCTTTGCCAATTTCTCACATCTGCAAAAAATGCATAGACAACCTTTTAGAGAACTTTAGTATGTTCTACTGACTGTTTTCCAGTGAATCCATAGCTGCATTTGCAGGTGCAATCGGGCAGTACGATGCCTCCATGTCGGCAGTCAATCGTACATTTCTCTGCAAGAAGAGAGCATTAGTTTACGGGGCAGTGAATCGAAAGTCCATTATCAGCCCCGTGTTCCCATACATCACTTGAACAGCGGGGCCCGAACGCGTGCGGGTAATTGCCAGAGATAGCAATCGCTTACTGCCAGACACTCATGCAAGTAGACGGGGACTAGTATGGATGACTAGCACTTCACTCGTCCCCCCCCCCCCACCCAATTGCACTATTTTCGGCTTTGCGATTGCTTCAGCGACATGAATATATATCCATGCCGCGCGGCCATTATCCGTCCCAATCTCATCCATCTTCCGGCAAAGCAACCCCCGACCCGGCGACATTGATGGACTAACGACGACATCAAGAACCAGCGCCACCCACACCTGTTCCTGTCGATGTACATGCGAACGTTTTTGAAAAGAGCAAATTCGCCGAAAACACCAGGGTGAGAGCCGGAGATAAGGGCCGACTATTTACATGTACTTTTGAGAGTATTCGTCGATGAGGGCGGTAGAAGATAAGAAGAAGAAGGTGTCCGTGCAGCCAGGCTGTATAGACTCGCGAGAGTGTTTTAGGAAATGTGCAAATACGGACTAAACATTCCTCTCGAGCGCGAACTTTTTCTAATAGTTTTTAGAGGCTCCAAATATAGAGTGGGTGCTCAGAAGAGTGAGATATGAAAGCTTTCTCAAATCCTCCATTTCATCCGTCAGAAACTTGATATTCTAGAAAAAAGATGAGGTCGGAAAAATGGAGTCGAACGAAATAAAAAGTCGAAATGAAGACTGCAGCACAATTCCCACGAGCATCAACCAGATTAGTCAAAGTGTCGAATTCTGCCTGAGATTTGCTTATTTCTAAAGAATTTGAAAAAAATGTCAAGTATCTTATACTACTCCGTGAAGGAAGTTCTCAACCCTCTAGATGTCAGCTGTTAGGTTGGCAAACTTGCATCGAGCCTCTTGATACCCATAAATCCCTACATTTCAAAAAATTTGAATTTGATATATTTTAGGGAGCAAAAACCATTAGGGGTGTTCAGGGCAAAAGTTTTATTAGCTTACTGCGCCATTACCAGCTGCTTATAAGGAACTCTCAATGTGAAATAAAAAACGACCGCTAAAAATTCCAAAAAGATTGCTCAGCAGAATCTAATAAAGTTTCGGTTTTGGATTTGTGAAATAGCCCCACTAGTAAACTTGTTATAATTCATGTTTTTACGAGCACTTAGAATTTTGTATTTTTTCAATTTACAATTTAGTGCTGCCAAATTAGAATCTCTGATTTATAATATTATACAAGAAATACTACAAATTTGAAGAAAATCATGGAAAACTTCAATAAGAACTACGAATAAAAATAATTTCATCAAAGCTTTTAATGCTAGTTCCCCCAAATTCTAGGATTTTCGAACATCACCATTTTTTTTTGAATCTCAAAGGCTTGCAAGTTAGAGCTCAGTGCTCGTTATGGACCATTGCGAAGTCCCATAACGCGCAACTATAAGATGCACTGGCCAAATTTCCCTTCTGGCTAAGTCGCTGGGCGAAATTCTAGCTAAAGCAAATTGCTCTTCTCCAAAGTACATCCCCATCGTCGACGATGTGCCATCATGGCCTCCCCATCGCCCGATATGCTGACTCAAAAGGCGTTGTTCAAACAACGCTGACCTTTGTCAGAACGTGGATTACGGTGGAGATCACTCATCGTTTGCTTTACCTATGGCCATAAAATTTATATTTTTTACGTTTCGCCCGCAGATGGTAAGCCTAAAATTTCTATCGGGACCTTTTTAGCCCAGAAATAACGACACATGGCTATTCTTTCTCTGTCTGTGTGTGGATAGGAGTCAGTGGTTCCGCGACCGTCCGTCCACTCGAGCACACTTGACCCATGTGGAAGTGGCGGCTTCCTGTGGTGACTCAGGTGCGCTCTCAAAAAAGGACAGCGCACTGTTGGGCTACCGGGTTGGGTAGCGGTAAGGATAGATTCCAAAAGCTCGATATGAGGTCTTAGACGAGTTCGGAGCATCAAAGGAATACAAATTTCTATGCCAGAATCTTCGCAATCTGGTTACAGAATGGTTAAGTCTTACACTGGTAGAATGAGATTGTTTATAAAATCCCAGTCAGGTAGTAATCAAATCTTGCAAAGAGACTGAGGAGACGAAATATTTTTTCCCATTTTACCGTCCCACAAGGAAATGAGTAATTTTATCAAATCGAGTGGGATAGTTCATTAGGTCCCATCTCTTATGTTCTCTCACTAGAGATGTGCAGTCGGTCCTAGATTTTTTTCAAGGGAAGGTTATAAAGGAAATCTTTGTGCCTCGTGAGTCGCTTAGACACGCCTCCCAAGAAAACCGGCACGCTCTTCAAGTTTTTAGGGAACTTGAGTTATGACAATGGAATCCGTCCATTTTTATGGGTCCGGGATTCGCGAAATTTTCTGGAACTCGCGGTTTGAGGGCTTCGCAGGATTTGCAAGACGCGAAATTTGCGGGATTGGTCCATGATATGACCCTAGAACTACTATCTAAAGTCTTATCTATAGGCAGGCACGAAAATTCTGAGAAAGGGGAATGGCGGCTTACTATAAACTCGAAAATATTCCCAAAATCGAAAGTAACTTACCAGTACAATTATAGTGCAAATTGAGGAATCGAGCAATCTGCTGCTTTGGCTTGTCTATTGACAACATCCGTCCAATCATTTCGTAGCAGAAGTCGTCCTAAACACTCAAATTTTTCCGCTTTTTTGTGCCACTGCGGCTCCCCCCGTGACGTGCGTAATCCTTGAAGAACCCGCACTCGATCACGCTGTCTTCCCGTTTTCTCCGCTGACCCCCCAAACTAATCCACTCACGGCAGGCTAATCGCTTTCACCAACTCGCAATTAGGGCCCTACGCTACTCCACATAGCTTAGCTGGTGTCGATTTGCAAAGAAAACGAGAGGCTAAGGAAACTCACCGAGATACATGTAGGGTTCAAGTGCACGGTTCGATTTGATTCTTGCCATGAGCAGTGCCTGAAAGATAAATTTTGATGCAGATGATGAGCTAGGAAAAGTAAAAAATGTTGGTTAGGTGTTTCCTCGGGTTAGTCGGCAAAAAACCAGCCACCGACATTAGTATATTTATCAACAACCTCAATTACTTAAACCTCATTTCAAAAGTAGTGGACTCCTCATGAAACCAATGAATATTTCTCTGCATTAGCTATTTTATGTTTAGGTTTGCATATACTCTGAAGTTCAGATAGATAATATAACATTTCATGCTACTCGAAAGAAATGAATAAATACAAAAATGTTCTCATAGATTGTCCTGTGAAATAATTTCTCCGCAGGTCTTGATATTCAAACACAAGCATAGGAAAATATTGCTAACAAAATAGGACTATTTCCGAACCATCAAATTTTTCGATAGGCAAAAAAATTGGGGAATTCTCTAAAAGAAAAAAAAAAGACAGATTAGAATTTTTCCCCCCACTGGGCACTCGTTCAGTTCCAGCCTCTAGCCTTTCTCTATATACTAGTCCAAACTTCAACTTTGTGATGACTAGTCATCACAAAGTTGAAGTTGAAGTTTGGACTAGTATATAGAGAAAGGCTAGAGGCTGAAACTGAACGAGTGCCCAGTTGGGGGAAAAATTCTGATCTGTCTTTATTTCCTTCGTCATTTTTATTTTGGTCTTTATTGATGCCCTTTTACCAAACTTCGGTGGATTTTTCGAGAGCTATGCATGAAAGTCACCAAGAAAGCTGCATTGAATTCAAATTAATTTTCCGATATTTTGACTTATGATAGGTTGAAAATGGGGGCAAAAATGTGCTGGAACTGTTTTCTGCTTTTCTGCCATTCAAAGTCTATCAATTTCTGACTCCATTGTATTCAAACATTGAAATAAATTCGACTGCCAATTCTTAGGCATTCTTCCTTGCCGATTCCAGCATTTTTTTTGGTTATGCAAGCCTCTCAAATCATGCGTCAAAGATGGCACACCGCTTTTCCCACATAATCGAAGCGATCAAAGTTTAGAGATTAGGAGACGGAAGCACTCACTCTGATTGGATAAACGTTACTGAAGCGTCCTGTTCAGAGGTTTGCCGAAAGAACAGGCATGTCTCGTCCATTAACATCTCCATCGATCGCTCCACACATTCGTTGATCTCATTATCTGCAAGATGGGGTTTTTAAGAGCATGATTCATTCATTTCAAAATTCCCCCTTTTTCTCTGAGGTCTTCCAAGGGCTCCAATTAGATGAGGGAGAAGGGAACGCAACAGAGCGCCCGCGGCCAGGCTATATCCCACTCGAAAAACGCGTTTATCGTTGCGATTATTCAATAAACGACGATTCGCAATTGCTTGCTTGCGTGGTCCCGAAATGCACATAAAATCCAAGATGGGACCTCTGGAAGGCGATGCGTGTGCAAAGTGCCAGCGACTTGGCACAAATTGCATGGACAAGGTCAGGATGGCACAAAACAATAGCTGCCCTTATCCGTGAGGTGAATATGACACGAACGATCAATCTAACAATGAGTGAGCTATCTATTAAGGACAAGATGAACTTTTTGCTTGGCAAATGAACTGATGAAGAGCAGAGAAATAGAAAGTTAAGTTTTCTAAAATCCCTGAAGAAAAGTATTTTATAAAATTTTCTCCAACATGTGGGAGCACATGTAGTAATATTGAGACAGCTTGAAGCTCATTAAGGTTAATTTGCTGAAAATCATTCGAGAATTTCTTCAAAACCCGAATATGGGTTTTTTTGATGTGAGATTTGTATAAAAAGAAGATAAAGCACTCCAAGAAACAACCAAAGATGTAATGCATCCTTCCGCCAATTCAGAAGCACTTCTACCCTACCCATCTAAATAATTTAAAGGTTCGAGAATTTCTACTATTCTATTTACTATCAGCTTTGTATTGCTCCTTCTCCAGTAACTCATCCTTAGCTCATTTCCATCAAATTGGTGTTTTTGGTGCATTTCTATGTATTTATAAACAAATATACAGATTAAATTGAAGCAATGAGGAAGAACAAAATGGTTTGAGAAACGTATTTATGAAGAAGAAGTATTGAAAAAGAGAAAACCCTTGAACAGGGAAGAAGATGAAGAAAGGAACTTGCAGAGGCAATCTTGAATGTAATTCAGAACTGAAAGAAAACGAGGCAAGTTCTTTTGAAAAGGTTGTTCCAAAAGTTAAAAGGTAAGCTGGGAAAGATAAGATTAACTGATTTTTTGAAGTTTTTTTTTTTGAAAGTCAGCGAACTTTTGGATACCCAGATTCATTTTCGAACAGCTTTAACAGCTCCTTTGAGAATAGAAGAGTCATTTTACAACCTGCATAATCTCGAGCATTTTGACAAGCAGATCCAGAAGCCAATATAAAAGAAGTATGAATAGAGAATCAGCGCAGCAAAGTGGAGAAAACAAATGAAATTCTAAAGACAGTCAGTACGGACAATTTGTCGGAAAGGATCTTTAATGAAGAGACTGGAAATTTTTCAGAAATACTCACCATTATCCGTATGTAAATGGTAGTTAATGACGTTAGCAAGTGCAGATTGTACCTGAATATTATGAATAACTATCAAAAATCTTAGTTCACTAAATTTTCAGTGACTCACAAAAAGAATCAGGATATATGAGCGCATGATGGTGTTGGGCTGCGCGGCTGTGTGGAGCAGATGACCAAGGCTAGCACTCGACGGGGCGGAGGCGGGGTCTTCCTGGAAAGGCGGGGTAAAGAGAGGATGTCGGAGCTGGAGAGAGGCATCTTCAAATGACCACGAAGAATTGGCTTAAACGAGCCGGATGCCATCAACTCGCATCCGGTCCGGGCACGAGCAAGAAGTTCTGGGAATTTGGAACAACTTTGGAACAACGATGGAACACTGCTGAAAGAGGAGTGAAAACAGCGAAGGTGCTTCGCTCGAGAGCCGACTAACAAAAGACTGGCTACGGGGAGTGAAATGTGAGAGGATGGACATGCAGCTAAGCAAATGTTTGACTGACCCCGTGTGGAAGCCCCACAAAAGGCTACCCACGAGGCCACGAGCAATATGCGTCGGCAAACACTGCACCCGGATGGAGAAGCCTCCTCGATGAGCACGGAATCAAGTTACCTCAGCACCCGCATTTGGGCATCAGAACCATCACAGATGTTGATATCGCGATGACAAATTCAAATAACACGCACGTCAATGTGCCAGGGTGTGATGGTCCGCTCGCGAAAACTACATGCATAAGCAGAGTAGCTTTCTCAAAGTAAAGAATGCAAATGGACGGACGCGATGACAAGTGCGATTGCTCGGAGAAAAAAGATAGTGGTCATCGCTATTCATCGTCCGTAAGCATAGACCCCTAGAAAAAGTGTGACTACGAGCGTGGATTGTGAGAGTCCTTTTCTTTTTATTTTCAAAACGTTTTTTCAAATCGACCTTGCTTTGCATTACACTCAGTTCTTCAAAGAGAAAGGTTTTATGTTCCAGCATTCATACTATTCGTGACAAGAGTCTTGTTACACTTTTTTCGTCTGCTTTTCGAAAACTGCAGCAATTTCTGTGAAGTCTCATACTTCGAATAGGGGGATAAAAGGCTCTGCATTGGCATCATTTACGACATTATGGACATGAGTTACAGCTATATGAGAGAAGTTCTGTAAAGGCATTTCAACCATTTTCGCTTCATCTTTTGAAAGTTCTGTCACTCTTCTTTTTCATTGAGATATCTGTGGAACTGCGGCAGCATCAATGCTGATACAAAGACAGTCCTGAGGCTTGAACTCTTTAAAATCTAAATTTGGAGGTCTGCCAAAATACTTTGCAAATTGAAAAATTCAAAAAGTGGATTTTTCATGTTGCATGTACCGAATGCAATCAATCCAAACTTTCATGTATTATCATCAGAAAAAGCAGCAACGAGTAACCTATCTTCCAACCTAATGAACACAAATCTGTTGAGATAATTTTCGATTCAAAATAAAGGAGATGTACAATATTTAGAAACAAATTTATTTGCTCTATAAAGGCTCCTTTATTTAATCATCTTCTCGAATGTCTATTCACCAACGTTACCCAGTCAAATGGTTTTTTGGTTGGTGCGGTATGGAATGCTCACAATGTACCCCGTTATGAGAGCGTTGAGTTAAATCGTCTTTCCAAAAAAAATCTATCGCTCTTTAATGGTCATGCAAACAAACCTGAGTTCGTCTGTGGCTATTCAGAAGTCCTTTTCGCACTTTTTTGTCCAATTTTTCTGGGCAAGAGGCACCTGTCATGAAGTCAAACTCAACTTCCTCCTCCATTCTTTGAGGTCGAATACTTCGTTATTGTGCGAGCTGATTCACAGCTCTTACGGGGTGATATATAGCTTGATAGCAGGAAAATGAACATGAAGTGCGGACCATTCCGGTTATCTTGCTAGTTAAATTGCTAGAAGGTTCCTGACCATGGTGCGGTTCTGGCTGGACAAAACTAAGAACTAGAAAAGGTGGAAAGGGTCGCCTGCTAGACTCGAACTGACATGAATTTGCTTTTCATTCTAAGAATATACGATGCCGCGATTGAATCTTACTCAAAATTTTACCAAGTTGCAGTTTTCAAAGAAATGTTCACGCAGAGCTCCGAAAACTTCAAATTTGCAAGCTTTAGTGGCTTAGCGTGTGCTTGATGTGATGTGACTACCAAGCTCGACCGTCTGCGCTGATTTCCGATATCATCAATTATTCATCCATATGTCAACGGAATGGGCAAAACCACTAAAGGCTCCCGAAGATGCCTTTGTGGCTCATGGGAAACTAGCTAATCGCCTCTGTGTAGTATTCCAATCCTTTAAGCTCCTTATTTATTTTACATAGGTCTTTGCTGTGACTAAACTCTTTGCTGCTGTGACTCCATGTTTTGTCTGTTCAAAATAGACTCGTTAAAGTTCTTCACAGACAAAATTCAAAAACTACAACTAAGTCAAATTTATTGATTTTATGCAAAGCTCCTACTATGATTTTATTAATCCTTCCGACCTTTATATTCTCCTCGCACGATGTCGCGCAGATTCGTGCTGTCGCTTAAAATTTCATTGTACTCTCCCTAGTCCAGCTCCATCTCCTCGGAGACCGAAAGGTCATTGTCGTAAAAAATTAGATCCTCCACATCGCGTAAAAAGCCTATTTCATTCACAACGGAGATATACTAGCTGACAGCAGCAGAAGGAGGGTAGGAGAGAATGGGAAAAGGGGAGAAAGTCTGGGATGCAAAGCTTGTTCATTTTTTGCTAATTTGGGCCGTGAGAATCTTTCCAATGCTTAAGTTGAATAGCAGCTTCAAAAATTCAAATATTACTGCGTGTATTGGTCTGATAGGTTCAGCAAAAAATCATGCCCTGCGGTTTTGACAACACTTGCGCGTGAGAAATGGCCCTGGAACGCATATTGCCAAGTTTTGCATACCATGCCCATCTTCCATGCGCTCAGGAAGAGGGAAAGAAGTGCGGTTGCAAATTTTGTTTTTTATTTGTTGTTTTGAGCCAGGAATTATTTTTTTGTTGAATCGCAGAAACCGATCTTTGAAGAACGCCTATAGTCTAAGGGTTTGGCATTTAATGTAGTGCCCCTGCAGTGTTGACAACACTTGCGCGTAAAAATGATTTTGGAGCACACATTTCCAAGTTTTACGCCCCAATGTCATCTTCATTATCTGCAAAGTACATCAATATTTTTCTTCGAATCTACCAAACTATACGCCATATGATATCTGTCCTGACGCAAGGTGTTCTCGGGGAGTCATCCATTTGTCCGAAGACCCAAAAAACATCCATGTGCGTGGTTGTGCAAGTGCTGGCGTCGGGTTTCCCGCAATTAGCGTGTCTTACAGTCGCACATGATCAGGCTTAGGTATCCGCCAGCCTAATATGTAAATGTTCATGGCTAATGGCCAGCAAACCAGCGTGTAATTGAGCGACACAGATGGCCGGTCTTCAGCCGCAATGTCGCGAATAGTGCGACAGATGTGGAGACGGAGACTTTTTACTCCGTCATAAGACCCTAGACAGCAGCTCGAGCAGACTGTCGCCTGATTTTCTTAACCTCGAGGTTGCTTGGCGAAAGATTTGAGTGATGCAGGGCATTCGGCGACGAATTCGCTGAGTTCAAACAGCAGCCCAATTACGCGACTAATCGTTAATAACAACATAACGCACACTTTTTGCTTGCATAACCCACTTTCCTAGGCCGGCAGAACGTTGGTTCTAGCAACCTTTGTACAAAAACAGCTTAGCAAACTTGATAGGAACTTTTTCAAAGCTAGGAAACTTTGAAAGGAAGAAGGGATGATTTGCAATTCTGAGTTTTAATTAAACAGGGTTGAAATAAATTGACGAAATTAGTGTAGAAAAGTGAGACTAACTATATAATATATAGTAAATTTTTGTAAAGCATTATGATGAAGTTGCAAGGTAGGCTCCCTGTACAATTTCTGCGACCAAATTTCAGTAAAGCTTCTGCCCTGCAAAAACTGTTTTTACCATTACTTGAGCAGCATCGTTAAAAGAAAAGAAGTGGCATCAGATGCAGTATTGACTTTTTTTGATAGCAATATGATTTTGTTCAAGGCTCGGCACAGGTGGCTTGTAAGCAAGCTGGTTATATCGTTATCGTAGATATCGTTTTTGGGACAAAAAGCAAAAGGGGTGACGGAAGGCTGAAAAGGCACAGAAATTGTGAAGTTTTTTAGTCGAATTCGTTTTTTGAGGATTTTTTTTTCACATTTGGATTTACCCCTTCCTCACATATTTTTTTGAAAATTTTCACTTAAACTTATTATTTGAATCAGTCTCTACCTATGAGTACTCCTTAACCCAAGCTTGGCACCCTCTGCTACGGCTTTTGATAATACAAAAAACCTCCTTTTTTCGACTTCTGTTGTTTTATATAGTTCGCTGTGGATTATAACTACTTCTCGAAAAAATTACAAAAGGTTAATTGTGAACTCCTCCAATGCCAGAAGGGACTTCGTTTTTACTACTTTCAAATGCCACCTCGTGCTGGGCTCTGTGTCAACTTGCTTTTTATAGAACGCAGGCAATGTATGGTTACTTGCTTTTTTGACTGCCTTGTCTCGCAGCTTTTTTGCAGTCAAGACGACTATGATGGATTGCAGAAAAGAGAAAAAAACATGTTTGCACTTTGAATGATTTATTTCACAGAGCACAAATCTAGACATATGGTGAAATTGGCAAATTTGTCCACAAGGGAAAACTTCTTTTGAACAATGGTGCATTTGAAAAAAATCTTGAGATAAGAACGATAGTGAAACCTATTTGATTCATGATTTTTTATGTTTTCAATTTTTTAAATTTTGTTCGTAAAAACTCTCACATGTATAATAAAGTGCATGTTTTGATAATATGTACTATACAAGTTTTTACATAGTCCAGCACACAGACGTGGATGTGCTAAAAATGTTAGCGTAGACTTTTTTTGTTTAAAACATTCGAAAAAAAACTTAGCCTTTGTCGGGAGTTGACGGTATTGAGCGTCCACTCGTAGCCTTTGTAGGAGGGGAGGTGAATTTAGCAAATTGTAGACAATGGAGCTTTCCCGGAAATAGTTGCAGTAAAACCAGGGTTAGAATTTCAAACAACTCCAGATTCTAGAAATAACATCTACAAAGCTACTGGTGGCTAATTCCGAAGGAAACACTGAGGTTTTACTAGAATTTACGCTGATTTGTACTCCTTGAAGCCTTTAATCGATAACGATTAATCGATAGTCCCGATGTCTATCTGGATAATTTATCCATTTTCTCAAATTAGGACTAGTGCAACTTTCGCTCCATTTCTCTAACAGCGAGGATGTTCTCTGCTGCGTACGAGATCTAATCGTCGTGCAAACCTAATTTGCTGTGATTGACCAGATTTTTTGCAAGCATCTAATTTTGTTGCAGTGTTCTACCTTTTTTTCATTTTCGATTTCTAACCTCATTTCTATGACAGACTTTAATTTAATATAAATTACCAACGAGACACAATTTGTATGACCTATATAAATGTAATTTATTCGTTATATTAGGTTGGTGCAAAAGTTCTTTCCGCCCAAATTCAAAAATTCATAACTTGTTTAATTCTCAACGAATCTGCAAGACCTAAATTTTGCTTGAGAGAAAAACTCATGCTCTTTGCATCTGTACCTGAACTGTTCGTTAAAGTTTACAATTTAAGGAGATAGAAGCTCAAAACCAAAATCACTCGAAATGTGAATTTTTCGTGTAGAGTTATAAAAAATCGGAAACCTGCAACAAAAATCGGAGCAGTCAGTATTGTAGGTTCTTTCACCAGCTCTTTCTAACGGTGCAAAGTTTGCGCTGATTGAGCGTTTCTATGGAAAGTTATGATTTCCCTGAAAAATGCCAAAATAAACCAAATTCGCCCTTTTGTATTGCTTGCTCGAAAATCATAACTTTTCATAGAGACGCTCAATCAGCGCAAACTTTGCACTGTCGGAAAGAGCTGGTGAAAGAACCTACAATACTGACTGCTCCGATTTTCGTTGCAAGTTTCCGATTTTTTATGACCCTACACGAAAAATTCAAATTTTGAGTGATTTTGATTTTGAGCTTCTATCTCCTTAAATTGTAAACCTTAACGAACAGTTCATGTACAGATGCAAAGAACATGAGTTTCTTTCTTAAGCAAGATTTAGATCTTGCAGTTTCGTTGAGAATTCAACAAGTTATGAATTTTTGAATTTGGGCGTAAAGAACTTTTGCACCAACCTAATATAAGTATGACTGAGCAGCTTCGACCCTTATTCTTTACATGTAGATTTTACACGAAATCCAAATTTTCAATATTGAGCAGATCTCAAAGATTGCTTTTACGGAGAAATTGAAATCTGACCTTGAACAAATTTTTGAAGTAGCATTATTAAGCTTTGATTTACTGAGTTGACTGAAAAAATACCCCGGTGACAATTGTTTTATACTTTTCCCAGATAATCGATTATATTTCTGAAAATTCGAACTTTATTCGGTTTTTATTTCCACTATTTTTGGGATCATTTTTCCTTTGGTCTTCTTTCACACAAAAAACCATTGCTATCTTTTTCGTCTATATTCAAATCTTCAATAAGAAATGCGAGCCGAAAGGAACAATTAGCAGCATAAAACAATAAACAGTAACCTAAAATGTTCTAAGTGAAACTTTGAACCCAGAACCAAAACTGAGAAAGGAAATTTTATGGCTTCAAAATCCTTGTTTTATTACAGTTTCGAATCGAACATGGGCAGTTGTAGACCAACTTTTGAGTCCAGGAAATTTCTATAAGCAGTCCAAATTTTGAATACTGCAACCATGTGCAAAGCATTTTTCGTACCATATAATGTGTGGAACTACACAACGTACAATACCTGAGAAAAGCAGATAGATTTTACTAATTTCGTGCTTAAGACCATGCTTGAGATTATGCCTGAGTGTTTTCTCGAAGCAAAAAGGAGACGAGTAAGTGTCAACAAGACTTGGCGCAGCTGAATGTAGTAGGCAGAGCATTATTTCGAGAGAAAAAGGGCAAACCGTACCTCGAGACGAGGTTCGTGGGCTCCTCCTTTACAAAGTTAAAGGTATTTCCTGTAAAAACTTCATCGTAGCTGCTTCGAAAACATCATTCGCTATAGTTTGATGATTGGGGAGCTTCAATACTATGCATGAAGTGCGGGTTTCAAGACTTAGTTTTAGCACAAGCGATTTTTTACGACTTTCTAGCGTCTTCGTTATCAAATGTGTGAAGCAAATAGAAAGCAAGAAACACGTGTAAGTCTGCAAGGAATTTCGACAAAATGGTTCGTTCAGCAGAGATAATGTCGCGTCCACAGAAATGATTTTCATAAAGTTAAGTTGTTTTTTTTGTATAAAAGTTATTTTAGCTACTTGCCATTGAAAACAAGTCATTTGTAAATTTCATACTATCATATATTGCTCTGAAACCTATGATTTTCTATAATATCGAGAAGTAACGAAACATCATCAAATCTGCCTCCAAAATTCCATTCTAATTTTTTCTGATCAGTTTGGCATAGCTCAACAAACAGTCAAACATCCTTCTTAAGTTTTTCCAAGACTCTGCCTGTCATTACTAATTATTCGAGCATGATAAAAATCACGTATGGTATGCGGCTGATCATTCAAGAAAGGGTTATCGCACTTTTCTCCTTTTTTTGAAGAGTCGTAGGACATTATTTCGACAAAGGTGCCAAACTCCAAGAAACAAGATCTTGAATAGAAATCTGTGTACTATCATTTCATTTATTTCAGACGCGATTATTACTGCGCAGATGCCTTCGAACTTTTTCAAGGGGTGCCATGTTGTGCCAAAAAATAACGTTTTTCTTTTATCATTGCGAAGAAATCCTGAATATTTAAGAGCGCCACCCCCCCCCCCTTTCCTCTTCCTTTCATGCGTTGATTTTGGTGACTTTTAGGAGTGATATTACTTACCAAAAATCAGTTGAATTTCAAAGATTTTTGAAAAAGTTTAGAATTAGCTTCGCAAAAAAAGTTTTTCGGGGACTTTCTTTCAGCGGTAAACAGTCTCTTAAGTCTTACATTGTATTTGAGTATGGTAGTGAAAATGTGATAATCATTCAATCTCAGCAAGTCTTGTACAGAGACTTGCTCTGGTTGAAGGATCAAGCTGCCCGAACCGAGAATTGAGCTTTCAAAAATTCAAATCATCTGTTATTAGAGTTTTCCTATAAAAAGATGGCGCAGAAAGATTGACAATGCGTCAAGAAAGTTTCCGGGACATAATTGTGAGTTCTTTGAAGTTTTCTTATTGTTAGGTCTAAAGTTCCCGAGATTCCCTTCTTGACTCTTCAAAAAGCCTTGCAACCCTGACATGATTGCCGAGCTTGTAGCTATACTCTTGCCTTTCACAGTTTATTCAGATTGCTATAGTGAATGCAGGGAAATATCTTTTTTCAGTATTTGCACCAAAATCCCAACCGAATTGAAGGCTGAAGTTTCCGGGCAAAAATCCGATTTTGAGATTTCGTGCCTACCCGGGCCTATTCGCTATGCTGGATCCGAAAATCGCCATTGAAGAGCGCGAAAACGGCAAAGAAGACTCTAACGCAGGACGAAAATCAAAAAGTGGGCGGAGTCTTCCCCAATGGAGATTCACCTCTCAGCTTCCGGAGCAATATTCCCGGTTCCGATTTCAAGTCACGCGTTTGCACTTGGTCAGTAGCGATATTAGGGCGACTAGTGGAACCGAGAAAATCGCTCCGGAAGCTGGAAGCTTGAATCCACCCTGGGGAAGACCCCGCCCCCTGCTGATTTCCCTCCTGCGTTAAAGCCGTTTTTTGCCGTTTTCGCGTTCTCCAGTGGTGATTTTCGGATTCAGCATAGCGAATAGGCCCGGGTAAGCACAAAATCTCAAAATCGACTTTTTGCCCGGACACTGCCTTTAAATGTACAGAAGATAGGGCATTTTATCAGCCCACGTAAGTTATACACACTAGGCATTTGCAGTCTACTAGTGTTGGATCCGAACATTTCTGGCGAATTGCCAAATCGCGGCGCGACTGCAAACGCGTGGAATATGCCCGGCCTTTAACGCTCCATTTTCTCATTTGACATTTAATTCGAAGTCAGCTAAAAAAATTACCCTCTTTTTAAACTGTCTGCATTTTAAGGGCATAATTTATGAAGAAGCGAACATCAACAAGCATGATGAAAACTTTATCTCAACAAACTAACGCTGGCCGTAACAAAGGAAGCTCGTCTATCTCATTCAACAAACATAAGGATGGTTTGACCAGAATCATTTTGGATCGTCTGTCACATCTGAAAAGTTATTTTTCCGTAGCAAATGATATGATAGCCAGCAATCAAACTTACTAAAGATGAGTTAGGGGTGGGGGGGGGGAAGAGTTGGGGTAAGGGAGAGGGAGGAAACATACAATCAACTCAGGAACATAGGACTGATATAAGGTAGGAAAAAATCAACAAAGCATCAAGAGATGGGAGGCAATGATAAACAAAAATAGTCAATGGGGACAAAGGTTTGAGTTGAAAGGTGACGTTAATGTGACAATGAAAGATAATAAGTTATAGTAAGGAGTCAAAAACGAAATGAATATATTAGCAGAGAGGTGCAAAGTTGCTTCAGTAAGCTATCAAAGTGTGTGTGTTATTCACATAAAATACTAGATACCCTAAAACTCTACAAGCATTAGCGTGTGTCCTTTTCAACAACAGCATCAGCCTCTTTGAGAGGAAGTTCTTCAGCTGTGTCACCTCCTTTCATCTTCGCCCAATCCTGTACTTCACCGCTGGCGAACAAGGCGAAAATCAGAGAACCAGCACCCAGAATAGCTGCTGTCACCCACAGAACGCTTTGCCATTCTTCTTGAGTTCCCTGAATGAGCAATCATAAGCGAAAATTAGAAAAATTCACTTTCTCGCAGCTCACATTTGGAGTTAACGCCGACGTTACCATAGGCGAGACGATACCAGCCAGACATGATATCGTGTTTCCGATACCCATAACGGTACCGGAGAAAGGAGGTGCTATGTCAAGATAGTTGACCACAAATCCGGAGTATTGTAGACCGGAGATGGCCATGCCTGCGGTTAGGAAGACTATGACCAGAGCCTGAAAAAGCATTTCTTGCTTTTATGATATACAAAAAAATGTGTACACTGTTTGATCGTCAATAATTCTTCTGCATCAAAGTCCTTTGCCGATCTTTTGTTAACATTCTGTAGAGTTGCTTCAACTACGAAGATCTACGGTTTGGAGCAGATCTCCAATCTCTCCGCTACTGTAGGATTACGGTAGGGTCTTTGAAGAGGGTTTTAAGCCATTAAAAGTCGCATTTTGCCTCGAAAAAAAAACAAGCCAAAAACTCTTGTACCAGGTCAATTCGCTGAATCAAATATGGATTTTGCATCTCACAGTCAAGCATTCATTCTTCAATGCTTCAAAAATGGCCACTAGAAAAGGTCACAAGTAAACGATACTTGGTGTCCGTGGTCTTTTGAGATGAGATGCATACCATTACACTTGTCTTGGAGCGCTGATTCCGAATCTGATTCCCTTTTGACAATCGTTCCTTTGGAAAAAGTTATGAAGATTTTCGCGCCAAAGGAGATACGGTCGAAATGCCAAAAACGATGTGATGTAGTGGCTAGTGCGATAGCCTCACAAGTTAGTGCAGGTTTAGGTTCAAATTCTTTTTGTGTTTTTTCAGTTCTGCTGCTTCAGTCAAGCTTCCTTTTGAAAGTTAGGCAGCCTCAACCATATTTCTCTGGTCGGCTATTGACGTGAAAATCTTTCATAACTTCTACTAGAGAAACGATTAGCAAAAACATAAGTCAGATTTGGAATCAGCGTTCTAAAACGAGAGTGATGGTAGTTTTATCTGAGAAGGTCACGGACAACAAGTATCGTTCCCTTGTCAGAAAACTTGTAAGAAATTGCGAATGAAATCAGCAACACGTTTGAACAAAACTTTCGACACATTGAATATTTTTGCGATTTTTTCATCAATCGGCCTTCACAATGGCGCTCTATGCTGAAAGTTCATGCCGTAATTCCAACAAAGAGTGATCGAGGAGTAGCTCCATACTATAATCTAACTAGGGAATGGTCAGAAGTCGAAGTGGCCCAACCAAACAAGCTGTATACCATTCGATGCAGTATAAAACGCTGACTTCGAATCTGTCTTCCTTGTCTGCTTCCCGCTTCTGTGGACGAAACTACAAGCGGTTTTATTGTGAAAAAATCACACATAAAAACAGCGAAATTGAGCACACTGTTGCATTTTTAGCTCAGCTTCTTTCTTCAAAAACTTGAAGTAGGCTAGCTGCATGTTTTGGCCCAGCATTAAGGCGAACGTGGCTTTGCACGGCTAAATTTTCAATTTCACCCGTAATTTCTTAGCAAAATAATGGTCTTTAATGGCTTGTAGCTTCGTTTACAGAAGCGGGAAGCAGATAAGAAAGACGGATTCGAAGTCATCGTTTTATACTGCATCGAATGGTATACAGCTTGTTTGGTTTGGCCACTTCGACTTCTGACCATTCCCTTGTAAGTCGAAGCAAGCTCCATAGAATGGAATGATCAAATAGTGTGCACACTTTTTTGGGATTGTATTTGCGTATTCGTGATAAAAATACCTCTTGTCCGCAGCCACAGTAACCAGACATAACCAAGAGCGCTGCCTGTCCAAGCAATGCTGAAAAAAAATTTGATAAAAAAATTGGAAGCGGATTTTGTCATAACGGTTGTTCTGCTTCAAGGATAAATGACCTCTCTAAAAGTTTTTTGCCCATCTATCACTATCACTTCTCGTCTCTCACTCTTGTGCTCTCTACTTATAGTTGATGGCTAGTAGAGAGATATCGTCGTCTCCATGCTATATCTCGGGCGGAGCATTGCAGATATTTGAAAAAGTTGGTAAAGTTGTCAAATACTGGCAATTTACGTGGCAGTTTCTTATAGCATGAAGTATGAAGAGCAATGGGTCGAAGTAAAGGTTCAACAAGTTTACCAACGTGTCCGTGGGAGGCGACTTCAAATGTTCTTACGGTGCCTATTTTCGCCGACAACATTTGCGCGTTAACAAATTTCTACGCCTGTAATGCCGGCGAATGCTTGCAAAAGCGTGAAGCGCACGATCTCAAGTTTCTGAACCTCTGCCAATTTGTTCACGTACAGAAGTTGTCGGCAAATGTCGACACCGCAGGGACACTATATTCACGTCAGATTTGTTAGCCTGAGGATATGCTTCAGTTTAAGCCAATCTCTCGCATAACCAGCCTAGATCTCGTGATGTATGAGTTGATATGATAATAGCGCCCCTGCACTGCGTCAGGTACACTTCCCCTCCCTCCTCCGCTTCACTACACATGATATAATTTAAGATTTGTTGATACTAGTTTAACAGAGCTAAAGTGTTAACTATATGACGTACCTATAAGCATAGCAGCCCGTCGAGTGTTGATCGTGCTTAGCAATTTTCTGCTTCGGATGAAATCAGCAAGGACTCCACCGACGTTGATCACAACAAAATAGGCAATGTATGGGATAGCCGATAAGATTCCAAGCTAAAATTACTGGATTATTCACAATGCAACAAACAAGAGGAGATCTCTTGTAACATCTATTTTTACCATTATAGTAGAAGCATAAAAATTATAAAACATGATTAATTTACAAAAATCGTTAGTACCCAATAACCTGGAGTATATTTCATTGAATATTAGAGGGAAAAATCTTCCATGAAACTTACCGAGGACAGATCGAGACCTAGCACATCCTTTAGGAACATCGGCAGCGAAACAAGCATAGTGTAAGCTCCCCAATCGCCAGCAAAGTGACCAAACCAGCAAGCCCAAACGGCTCTTGATGTCAGAATTTTACCCCATGGTGTGCTAGGGGGCTAAAAAACAGAAGACATAAACTTCAAACTGATTTAAAATTTTAACCAACCTTGCCTGTGTGTTTTCCCACACTTTCTTCGACAGCTTTTGTAATATACTGCTTTTCTGCCTCAGAGATTCGGGGGTGATTTATAGGTCTATCAGAAGACACGTACATCCAAATAGCACACCACACCACTCCCATAAGTCCTTGAGAAAAAGACCATTGAAACAACCGGAGAACACCTGACTTGATCGATGAAGAACATACCCAAAATATAGAAGATACTTGGCCAACCGCCATCAAAGCCATACTGGCAAAGGAAACCGGAAAATGGTAACACAAACACATTTCCAATCTGAGCTCCTAGATTATTCATAGATCAGTCCTGACAACAGAAGGACTCATAGTAGGGTTTACCTGCATATGTTACACCAGTAAGGATAGATAATTCAAGTGGAGGACCCCAAACCGACCACATTGTGTGCATTGCAGGGAATGTTGCACCCTGTAAGAAGAAAGAAAAATTCTTGGATCTTCAGAACCAAACTTAAAAGACAATTTACCTGCAGAAATCCGATGGCCACACGAAGGGCAACCAAAACATAAGGACTGGTACGAGCTGCTACAGGACTAGCTAGTGTCAGTAGAGAGGAGCCCAATATACAAGTAAGGACTACTCGTTTGCCTCCAAACCGCGAGGCCAAGTAACCACCAAGAACCTAAATTTTGCATATTCAGGCTAGGCAGGTGTCCAACTTAGGGCAAAGATATACCCACTTGACTTCCAAGGTAACCCCAGAAGAAAGCTCCAAGAATTTGTCCTTGCACCGCTTTGCTCCAGTCGAATTCGCCGACTACTGCCTGAAGATAATGAGCTTGAACAAAATACATGCGTAAAAATACAAATACATAAGCTCTATAATCATGAGTACATTGCTTATCTAATCCGATCTTACAATTAAATGCACATTTAGTGAGTTGAGTTTATTTTTACGATTTACACAAATTTTTGATCAAAAAGGTTAGATCCAGTCGAAAGTGCGCGATGGTCAGCCCCAAACTTCATATTCTAACAATGTAAACGCAACGTAATTTTCAAAAACTGTTTACACAGCATGTTCCAAACGACAGCTGCAAAAGCGCGTAGTGAGTTTGACGACACGTGATGCTCAAATTCTACATCGCAAAGGTTGTAAAAAACAGAGAAAAGATCTTTTGGCTAAGGTCGCCAAAAAACCAAATCAAGTAAGTGAAATAAGAAGAGAAACTTTGTAAAATGACCTACATTGCTTGTATCTGCAGCAACTATCTCCTTTCCGCATTTGTTCACCGTCCCCGGCTCAACCTCCGTCTTGTTCTCTATGGCCATACAAACGATAGCAAAGCTCATGTTGGTCCGGAGCGTGTACGTCACAAATGATCCAAAGAAGCATACCAATGCGAGGGCAAAACGAGTGGAAGGCACTAACGCTGAAAAAAGCTTTTGTTCACAGATTATAGGCTGAGCCAAAACTAAGAGCCTGTCACAACAACTTCTGCTAATCTACTGATAGTTTGCATTGTGAGGTAACTATTGCACGCTATATCAATGTGTGAGGAAAAAATTTGTGGTGGTGGAGCAAAAAGCGGATTTTCGGCCATTTTGTTCCATTCTGAGTTCTGCACCTTTTTACTGTGAAAAATCTGTCTGATAAATCATACGCGTAAGAAAAAAAGCCGCAAGCTGATATAATACCAACTGGTCTAAAAAATGTTTGCAACTTGTGCCGCCTTTTATGAATTGCTATAAGCCAGTGGCGGTCCCAGGATTTCGGACCGGGGCGGGGGGGCGGCAAAATTTTTTTTTTCAAATGAAGGTGCTTGGCGTTAGCTACGAAAAATTAAAAACTAAACATTTTTTGATGCTTCTCAAAATTTTTGCGGACCCATAACCCCTAAAATCTCGAAAAAAAGGGCGTGGCATCCGCAACGTCCCCGAAAAAAATTTTTTACAAGGCTAATTTGAATTTTTAAAAACTTTAAAAATTATTTAATTATCTACATGAATGAGCGTCACTTGCACATTTTCATAACCCATTTAAGTAAATTTCAATAAAAATTCGCGACCCATTCTTCCCCTGCCCCACCCTTCCCCTCGGTCCATAAGCCTAAGTTTTCGGTGCTGATGGCCGTTTCTTCATATAGGGATTTGTCTCAGTATATGAATGGCCATGCATAGGCACTGGATAACCATCTTTTTCTGTTTTTTCTAGAAAAATCATCCAGTGCCTCATTCTTGCATATAGCGAATCTACTCGAGAACTCCTACTTTTATTTGCACTGGAATGAAAGCTATAATCATACCGTATCACTCATTCTATGTACAAGGACTAGTGAACCAGTAATCTAAAGGTGCTATTTGGAAGAGCGTTCGCCTCGGGACCGCCACGCGGTTTCCCGCTATTTGCACATTTTTGAGTTGCGATTACTATTCTTTATATATTAGATGAAAAAAGCCACTGTTACGATTGTAAGTTTGTTTCTAGAAAATTCTGTTCGGAGATCATTGAATTGACTGGCTCTTTATACTTTTCCCAAGATATATTTTGCAGAGCAAACATAGCTCTTTCATATGTATATCGTAAACCAAACTCTTCATCAAAAAGCAATGACAGCCTTAACCACATCCCACAAATGGGACGCGAGATTTTTTATACCTACATGAGGTATGAAACTGTGCAAATGAATTGTTTTCGATTGTAAATAATTTTCAAATTTCTGAGGATTCAGCTTAACTATGTGAAGGATATTTTTGGGTTAACGGCTGCCCACAGGCGTTCTCCCGGACGAGGTTGTAGGCCCAATAAAAAGTTCGGAAGCTCCCCCTCTCCTCCTTCCCGCCACCCCCAAACGAGATTTTTCGGACCGCCATTGGCTCTTGGAAGTAAAAAAAAATCCAAAGGTGCTAAATACCGAAGTGGATTAGGAGCAACGGAAATTTCATAAAAAGCAATATAAAATAACAATGATTGACTAGCTGGGGTAAGTGACACTTCGATCTTCGATCGAATGCACTTGATGAACCCCCAACATCACATGACTGCTTTCCTTTCAAACGCTTTTTCTTTTCTGTCAACATAGTTTTATAGATAGGAATTTCTGATTATTCGCAGAAATCAATATACGACTTGCAAATGACATGCAATAAATTCCATCGACCGACCCATAATCTATTGGAAGCGCATCAATGCGGCTACAACAAACATTGCCCACTATCCCAAGTTTCAGAAATCACTGAAAGCATGCTTTTGCAGTTCCTTATCTCTTCGCTGCACGCACTGAGTGTGTAAATAAAGCTTTGTGAACGGTCAGCTGCTACCAGTTCGCTCAAGAGAATTTAGTAGCATCGCGTAGGTATATCATGTATAGTAGAAAACTTCCAAATAGAACGTAAATTCTTTTCACCTCTAAAACTGGCTCGCAAACTATAAATTGAATAGTCCGAAAAATTGGTCGCAAGTTATTAAAGTGGACTTCTAGTGTCACAAAAATGTTCAAGCAAACTGGTCTCAATTGAAAATAACAAAGGTATTATTTTATAAAGTTTGAAGATTTATGTAATAAATCATATAACGTTTATGAGATTTAGACTGCTTTGCGTAATAACTTCCTTTTCTCCAGTCAGCGTATTCAGTTTGGAAAACAAAGATTTGAAATGATTTTCGAAATTAGTAGTCTTCAGATTACTCTGGGAACCAATTTCTCTGTCTTCTGAACTGCATAATGATGAAGTCACAGAAAAATTGAAAAGCATTCCACAAAAAATTCGAGAAGGCTCCCCTCCCTCCGTCTAGGATTGTCATTGGTATACATATTACACTATGACTGGAACTCTATGCGAACACTTCATGCAGTAGCGGTTCGTGGGAATACGTCACAAAAGAATTCGCTTGGTTCGGCATGGCATGCGAAACTGCAAAGAGAATTGCAAATTTCCTCCTTCCGCCTTCCTACGAATTTATGCATGAAATTTTCCAACATCTTGCGACAGTTTTATAAAAACTAACATGCCTGGCCCAGTGTGTGGTTGCTTTTTTTAGAATGTATTCATTATGTTGTCACACTTTCCCTCTCTAGACTTAGACTAGCTTTTCCTTTGTTGCATAATTAAAACATGCCGAACCAGCGACTTTCTAAACTGCTATATAATACCCCCCCCCCTCCCCCAAAAGCTTCTACAAACCATCTCAGAAGAATCATAAACAAAATCCAAGTCTGCAGCTAGCACCTGGGCGCAACGCGGCTCCCCAATAAAAAACTTATGGCCCTTGACACGACCTCTCTTCTCTCATTACTACACCAATAAACAAGGATTTATCTTAGCAATGCCAGGAAATCAACAAAGTGAAATTTGACAGTGGTACTCTCAAGAATTGTGGCACTATTCACCTTTTGGTGATCCTTGAAAATGCAAAAAATTCAAAACAATGCAGTCATTAATTGATTGTTTAATTATTATTAACATATTTAGGTGCATGAAACGTGACTGTTTTAGCACTATGAAGACTTCTTCTCGGAAGACGGATTCATTTTTGGTTTATGATTGCCCTGCAGACTCTCTGCATACTATCTCAAAAACAGATCGCCCTTGAAGTGGTCTCATCTTCAACTTGATTTCTTTTTTATTTTAGTGTGCACGTGCACATACAGAGAATGCATTGACTCACATATCTCTAGAAAAAACAAAACGCCTTAGGGTCCATTCATATTATGCTCTGACATCAAAACTAATTGCTTTCTATTTGCCTAGATTTGTTCATAAACATTCATAAATCTTATTGTCAGAAACTACCTATACATCTTCGCTTTTTTTCTACCATGCACAACAACTACTGCTGGAAAAATCGCGCTTCAGCGGCCAAAAATGTGCTCTGGGCGGGCTTTGGCAGTTCCGTTTGAATATTGGCGCAGTTCTGCTCTATACTTGAATACTATGATATGGCAAATGTCAAACATGGATCATGTTTAAGAGCTGGGGTTCTAACCCGGTTCTTGCTTATAAATAGCACTGCCTCTTTTGTAATATTCAGAAGAGTGCAACATCCATTTTGAAATCAACCATTCAAAGCTAGTAGACAGAAAAAATTACAGGACATATTTGAATAAAACTACATGTACAAATGAGGCGCGATTCTAAGCGAATAAACACGCAAGGCGATTTCGCTAATTTTTTGGCTCAGTACTTTACTTTTACAGTATTTTTAGTCGGCACGCTGATCACAGATATGGAATCATTTCGCAAAAGCGTCAAACGGAGGGGTTACGGTAAATTTTAGGATTTCAAAATCTTAATCTACTCAAGATTTCATCAAGAGCGCTTTTTGATGAACCTCCACAAAAAAGCCCTCTCTTACACGATCAATATCATAACCATGAACAGTACGCTAAACCCTTCAAATAAATTTCAAACAATTGCAGAATTTTCATCGGCCTGTGTATGCCCATCGTAGAAACACAAGTGGTACCTTACTATGATGATAACTACTTTATTCAGCCCTGTTAGTCTTGAAACGGTCTTTTAGAACCAGATTTAAATTTTAAGTCAACTAAGGTGACATGTGCGTAGTACCCTTGACTATACGAACCCACTGAATAAACAGTAACTCACGTGGTTTGGAGGTGAGCTCCATGGCGCCAGGAAGAGCTGAAATGTCAATAGATAGCGCGATAATTTGAAACTGAGAGGAACTGACTATAAGTAGAGAAAAAGATAACCAAATGATGACGACTGAGATTTGTAGCAAGAAATGGACAAACATACAATGGTCACTGAGGTGCAAGAAGCAGGGCTCGGCACGCGAAAATGCAAAAAAAGAAGTCCCCTTTGGCTTTCTCTAAACATTACAAGTGCCCTTTGACCCAACCATAAACGTAAAAAACCTTAAAAAAAGTCGACAGATAAAAAACGTAACCTGAGTGGTGTTTTTTCCCCAAAACAATATTCAGCTTACTTACAAGCCACCTGTGCCGAGCCCTGGCAAGAAGGAAATGGCAAACGAACTAGTGAAATTTCTTCTGTATATGTTAGTATGGAACACCGAAAGCAATAAATTAGCTGTAAATGCTCTGATATTCACAAAAAGTCTGATAAGAACCGCACTAAGAGATACAAAACAAGGCTTTTTGCATTCAAAGGCAATAGCGCAAAAACGAGATTCTCAACAAAAAAAAAAGTTCTCACAATCAGTTCTGCTAATGCCCAGATTGCCCGATAGACTCAGAACTTTACACGAGAAGAGTGAATAAAAAAGGAAGCGGATGTTTGTCGAGTTGTTTGACAAGAATTGTGCCTGCACGTTTGTACTATTAGTACATTCATAGACAGTTCTATAATCGAACGGAGACCATTGAAATGTGCACTCTCGGGTCGCGCGACGGGGTTTGATTACACTGCGACATCTGTCATCTGATGTGGTAAATGCAGAGAAAGCAAAACGAGTTGATCCTTCATCATCTTTTGCTATATATAACACCTAATAGTAATATGAGCAGCTGTTAGGTGCATTTCATTTTACACAATCTTGGCGCTACTCCACTTTGTAAAATTTAGAACGCAAAATTTCAAATGAAACTTTGAAGTAGGGGAGAGAACAATTTGGAGTGTACAACGACAATCGTTCCATACGGTAGGGTTTATTTCGAGGATTACGATAATACGTTACGTTATGAGGTCGAAATGTATGTTCTGTAAACTTGCACGATGATGGTTTTTAATATGGTGATCGCGTATCAAATCCATTACTCTAGCTTCTATGGTAGATTTACTGTAAGTATATAGACGGACTTTTGAACTTTGATCCCAATAAATGTTCACTCAGTGAATACGATATTTGTAAACAGCGTATCAACAAATATTGCAAATTCTAAGGCGTTGACACCACCGTATTTCCTCAGAAATGACCCTAATATCAGAATGACAGTTATCCTAATCTCTTAAATTCCTCGGTTGTCGAAATCTCAGCAAAATTTGAAATCATGCATTTTTTATGAACTGGAAAAGCGCCAAAATCGTCCAATACGATGCTCCTAACACTTTTATATTACTGCATATTAGGTGTTTCATTTAGCAACGGTAAAAGACTGGGTCGGTTTGTTTTCTCTGCTTTTCACATTCAAATGAGGGATGTCGCAAAGTAAACGTAATCATTTCATCTTTTTTATATGAGAAATTGCATTTTTTTAGTTGTACAAATTTCTATTCCGTCAAGGTCAAGAACGATAAATAAAAGCAAATATCGTAGATATAATAGCCGATAGAGTCAGAAACTGCTTGCGTTTCATTGATTTTCATATATTATCGCGGTTTCGTGCGACTGTTTATCACAATACAGAAATGTTATCTCCAAAACTGTTCGTAAACGTCCAACAAGTGCAGATACTGGCAACAGGCAAGCACTTAGAAGGGACTATGTAAATTGGATTTTTTACGGAAATTATGGCCTTGAAATATTATAAGGAATATCGTGGTAAATGAGGCTAAAGTATTATGGTAACTCGAAAATAATTCAAGTTTGGGTTCTCAAACCACAAGTGCCAAGAGGCTCTGCAGAAACATAGAGAAATGTTTTGGCGCAGCTCTAGAAAGAGAAACAAGAAAATAGCGGAGCGTTTGTTGTCTTAAGTATGAACATGTGCTCGTTTAGTTAATTGTACAGTAGATAATTTCTGACAATTTTGCACATCGGCACGCAATAGCGAAATCATGCGATTTTTACAATGAAGCGATTTTGATGACAGGATAGAATTAGTTGGAAGCTTTATGAGACTTTCGCCAGTAGACTCAAACATTGAAACAGGATAATGAAGTAGAAGAAAGATTTGGACAGAGCACAACCAGCTCAACTAGTTTCTGAAGCATCGCAAAACGACTCCTAAATATCAGGCGGTCTCCAGAGCTCTTAAAGCATCTCGAGTTTTTAGGAAACTTTGTAAGATGACTGGTTGTGCTGGTTTGCTGCTCGTGCAATGTTAGATCTCTGCACTCTCTCGATATTCATCAAGCAAAAAAGTTCGTGACAATAAACAGTATAGACAAATGTGAACAGCCTGACCCGTTTTTTTTTTCTTCAAGATTGTTTACGTATGGCTTTCTGAACAAATTTATTCAACAAAGGCAGAGGCGTGTCGATTCTATGGCAGAGAAATGATCTGATAAGGCTTTCGAAAAGAACACTGCGGTTAAAGTGATGCAGATAAGACGTATGCAGATAGTAAAAGAAAAATAATTTCTGTCTTGCAAAAGTGAGAAGAAGAAGGTGGGCACATTTTCGGGGTGATTAGTGTCTTCAACAAAAACTTGATAACTGTATTTAGCGCAGATGATCGTAGTATTACGAATTTGAATAGAGATGCGAATCGATTTGGAAAAAGCATCTAAAAGTTGTTTCTCACCACAAACCTAGTTTTTGACACCGCAAAATAAAGACTGAAGGAGTAGACGCATTTTGACAACAATTAATCCTCCAACAAAACTCAACTATAAAATTCAGCGCAGATGATTGCAGATCTTAGTATTCAGCGTTTGAAGAATGTTTCTACCTGATACCGAAAAGAAGCGACTACTGCAAAATCACGGATGATTTTTCCCATCATAGTGCTGTCAATATGAAAGCAAACTCCACTAATTCTTAAGAAAGATAAATTAAAAAGAAGACAAGAAATGGATCAGCGATCAGAAGATCAGAATGGATCAGAAGATTGATAGCAAAGATAATATCAAGGTTAAGAGCAAAAATAAAGAAATCTATCCATTACGGAACAAGACAATCAATCAGGGACGTCGAAAGTAAATGATTTACACGGTACACTTTATATAGGAAGTGTAGCCTTTGGTTTACTGCCAGTAAAACCCGCAACGCACTGATCCGAGCAACCAATGGTCACATTATTGTTCAGCGCATTTCCACACGGATCGCGGGAAATTTTGCATGCATTGGAATATGAATGAATGCCTTTTGCGCTTATAACTGTGATCAATACAATTTTGGGCTGTGGCATCAAACAGGGCATCAAACAGAATGGCGATGTTTGATAAAAGGAGTCAAAAGCGAGAGAAGAGAGCTTACAAGTGGATAAGAACATGGATAAATAAACGAGGCTGCTTTCTGGCAAGCTCTCAATGATGCAAAGCGTAAGACGAGCTCCTCCTCTGACCACGACACACGTCATGCTCGACGGGTTGCGTCAAAATGATGCAATACACGTGAACGCATTCAAAAACCCCGCCAAGAGGGGGTATGTGAGAATGGGGGAGGTGTGTGTTACGATAAGAAGCAGGCCCCTATCAGGGGTGTGTGTTGGCAACGGCACAAATCTACTCGACATAATAGTGGGCGGTGAGAGGGCAGAATAGCGGGGTAGAGTACACACGGGGAAGGCGAACGCGGATCTCTGTTGGCCGAACGGCCAGCTCGTATGAGCGAGCGTCCCGCTGGCGATCTGCCATCGTGGGCGGAGTTCGCGCGTCACTCTTCGTACTCCGCTTGATTGTAATCAGCACGATGGGGTCATTCAAGAGTTTAGTGCCGGTCAAAAAGACTTTTACGAGAATTGCATCTTACCAGAAATGCACTTCTAGTCGAAGTGGCCATTTCGAATGTGCTGCGCATCCGTAGATGTGGCATAATGTGCTGACTACAAATTTAGTTATCGCCTTCGTTGGAACGCTAACTTGTGCACGAATTTATGGATAAAATCCGTTTAAAATGATTTCAAATTCAAATGTATTATGGACGTCAAAATACCCTATGCGATGGGTTTCTCCACTATCCTCACGCTCAGCATTGTTTCATTTGTGTATATGGAAGGTCGTTCAAGACGCTTTTACTTCATCCACGCATTCAAATTCACGTCCCAAAACCCGGTCATCACTCTTTGTATGAAGGCGATTTACAGTTTATGAAGACAAAATGGTAATCAGCATATGGTGCTGCATTTGCTGACACTTCAGATAGTCATTCGACTGAAATCATACTCCTGTTTGGGTTTGCAACGGCGGCAGTCACTTCAAGAGACGTCACGTCCACAATGTATGCGCATAAAGGGACATTCAAGATGTGCGAAGTGCAAACCTCAAAAACTTGTGAATAGTAAAGTGCAAAATCTCTCTGGAACAAGATCAAAGGTATGCCCTATGAGCTGGAAATGTTACAATAGAATAAAGCTCCAACCTCGTCACAACAAAAGATTTAGAGAAAGATTTAGCATCTAGTGTCTACTGTCAAAATTGTCGTAAGAGGGTAAAAATTAGTTTTCCAATAATAGATTCATCACTGACACTTCAATAATCGAATCAAAGGGACTCATGACTGGAGAACAATTTTGTAGATGTTCTTTGTGCATGAGACTTCCTAAAAAAACAGAGGAACCAAAGGTGTCAAAAATCTCCAGTTTTATTGCGATAACTGACAACACTTGTTGCACTTGCGAGATTGAAGACTATTGAAGACTTTTGGAATTTGAAACCATAGAGACTAGAAAAAATCAGAGACGTGGCAAATCTTCGATGCTTTGCACTGATACACGACAATTACACTGGATTAGAGCGATAGCATTCATGTCCTTAGTAATTATACTGACACACGATTAGCAAACATTCTCATACCAATCGAAAATAAGGGGCGCAAACTATTCACATGATGACGT